TGCAGACCTCGAGCCCTACATCCAGCGGATCGCCCATGGCGATGCCTCGCCTGTCCTCACCCAGCAGCCCATCACCATGCTCTCCCTCAGGTACTCCCTTCTTCTTCTCTTCCTCCCGTTTCCTCTGTAGGAAGTGGACTGTGACCTTCAGGTATGTGCCCGTGTGTCGTGCATTCATGCACATGCTCTGTAACTCGTTCTGCAGCTCTGGAACCACAGATGGCAGGCCAAAGTATGTGCCCTTCACACGCTTCAGCTCCCAGTCTACACTTCAGATCTTTAGGCTCGCAGCTGCATACAGATCGAGGTGTGTATGTATCCGAACGACTTAATTTGATTTGAACTTTGTTACTTGATCGAAGAACTGACGTTGTGGTTGGATTGGAAGGGTGTTTCCGATAAGGTCTGGAGGCAGGATCCTGGAGTTCATCTACAGCAGCAAGCAGTTCCAGACCAAGGGCGGGCTCATGGCAGGAACAGCGACCACCCACTACTTCGCAAGCCAAGAGTTCGAGACGAAGCAGAGGACCACCAAGTGCTTCACCTGCAGCCCGTTCGAAGTGATCTCAGCGGGAGACTACAAGCAGTCCACCTACTGCCACCTCCTCTTCGGCCTGCTCTTCCATAACGAGGTGGAGTTCGTGGCCTCCACCTTTGCCTACAGCATAGTCCAAGCTCTGACGGCCTTTGAGGACCTGTGGGAGGAGCTGTGCGAGGACATCAGACAAGGGACCCTTAGCTCCAATATCACCTTGCCGACGATGAGGAAAGCTGTACTGGAGCACCTTATGCCCAACCCATCTCTGGCGTCCAAGATCGAGAGGGACTGCGAAGAGCTGAGAAGCTCGGGCTGGTGCGGGTTGATTCCTCACCTGTGGCCTAACGCCAAGTACATCTACTCCATAATGACGGGATCGATGCAGCCCTACTTGAGGAAGCTGAGGCATTATGCAGGAGAGGTGCCACTGGTTTGTGCTGAGTATGGGTCCACGGAGAGCTGGATCGGGGTGAACTTGGAGCCGTTGAATCCTCCGGAGAGAGTGGCTTTTACGGTGATTCCCACCTTCTCTTACTTCGAGTTCATCCCTCTGTACAAGCAGCAGAAGCAAGATAGCAGCACGTTGGTGACTCCTGATGACTTCGTGGAAGGCCAACCGGTGCCCCTGTGCAAGGTCTCCGTCGGGCAGCAATATGAGATCGTCCTAACCACTTTCACAGGTCTCTCTCTCTTTCTCTCTCTCTCTCTCTAGTTTCAGAATCTTCATTCCTGCGTCACAGAGCTCCTTTGTGGAGCTCTTCGGTACACTGTACCGCCCTTGGATGGCACGAGCGTTGGGGCCACAAACACATCTTTGAACAGTTCGTGGCATCCTAAGCTTTCGTCATGTCCTTTGCGGTATCCAATCCTATCTATCACAGCCGAGGGATGCTTGAATCCGCTCTTCGATCTTGGCAGCTTCCATGTAGTGTCACTAGAACTCGATTAACTTGCCTGTGACCATAGATAGCTTCAGGGACACCATGGGCAAGCAAGCAATGCCCACACCGTCCTTGTTGGACCAACAATGATGTGTGGCCAGTCTCTTGACACCATCACCATTCATTGCCCTCTGTGGTTCCCCACCGCCGTATCTCAACAGCCCCGTTGTCCTAATAAATACGATGATAAGATTGCGACATCTGATGAACCCACTGTGCCATGGCGTTTGTCCTCTTATTCTTTATGTTGGGCCACCATCCCATCCCATTCTCGCATGGTTGTTTTCTGCTATGAGGTACCACTTCGCTTCATGAGCCTGTTTATCCCACAGTCAAGGTTGTGCGGTGGATCAAGAAAAGGCTTTGAGCGATGATGAGTTATTCGCGGTTGGCGAATGGAAGGAGAGGGGGCATCAGTCGTAAGAAGGAAGTACAGAATCTGACTTTTGGAGTTCCCTTTCAGGTCTCTACAGATACAGGTTGGGAGATGTGGTGGAGGTTGCAGGCTTCTACAAAGGTGCCCCGCAGCTAACTTTTGTCTGCAGGAGAAAGCTCATCCTGACGGTGAACATCGACAAAAACACAGAGAGGGACCTGCAACTCGCGGTGGAGAAGGGGAGCGGCCTCCTGAGCCGGACCAAGGCTGAGTTGGTGGACTTCACCAGCCACGCCGACGTGGCGCACCACCCGGGCCACTACATCATCTACTGGGAGATCAAGGGCGAGGTGGAGGAGGGCGTCCTCCGGGAGTGCTGCCGCGAGATGGACGCGGCCTTCGTCGATCAGGGCTACGTGGTGTCCCGGAAGACGAGCTCCATTGGGCCGCTGGAGCTGCGGATCGTGGAGACCGGCACGTTTCGAAAGATAATGGAGCACTTCATCGGCAACGGCACCGCCATGAGCCAGTTCAAGACGCCAAGGTGCACTACCAACCAGGTGCTGCTCAGCATACTCGACTGCTGCACCGTCAAGAGCTTCCGGAGCACGGCGTACGCGCCATAGCAAGTTTCCAGCCGAGGAAGAAGCTCGAGGTTCCTGCTATTAGCCTAACGACTGTAGCTACATTGAAGAAGACTGTGATGCTACCAGCCAAGACTGCATTGATTTAAGAGTAGACAAATCGTTTGCACTCTCTCTCTCTCTCTCTCTCTCTCTTTCTCTCTCTCTGTATATATATGTTATATTTGCATTAGCTGCTTGGATGGCCGGACTTTTGTCCCTTGTTTACCTCATTAACGTCCGAGGTAAAGTGCGTCGTTTGCTCTGCTTCTGGCAAGCAGTGATTAAACATTTGACTACTACCCATATATGTTGACCTTCCAAATAATCTTTTGACCATATATATATATATATATATATGCTTCTGCTTCTGCCGCGTGTACCAAAGTAAGCTTTTGACCAAGTCTACGTAGCTTGAGGGATAATCAAACATGAAGCGAGCACACTGACAACAAAAATGAATTCCCGGTAGAAAATATTATCAAGCCGATAAGAACAATTCTAGAAATAAGTTTCACTTATTGAGTGTTAGTCGAAAAATCCGGCTCTCCAATTTATTATAATTAAACTACTTATAAAGCCATCAAAAAACGATAAACTCAAAACGTTGACCTCTTAATGACATGATAACTTTACCAAACCTAAACATTCAGAATGCAGTTTATGTTGTGGTGGGATTGGCGTGAAGAGACTAAAGGATGAGTACCTTTATATTCCAACCATCCGATGTCATGTGTGTCTTCTATCGATCATCCTCGTAATTATGATCGACGACTCCAGTTCCTAGTGTCCACCTCTACTTGCTCACCCCACTCGAGCTGCATCAAAATCAATGGTGGTGAGACAATTACAAGAGAGCCAACATCAACGACATATCATTAAATGAGACGTGGACCGCCGGATCAGCTGTAGGTGTACGCTGGATTCGTTTTCCTTCTTTTTGCCAACCGCGAATCCACTGTTGGGGCCTCACTGTCGTCCCCTTCCATCAATTTCGCGGTCCAAAAGCCACCACCAAAAAGCCAGAACGAGAGCAACAGGGCCATTGATTGAGTCCCTTCCACTATCGTCGCCTCCCACGTGATCGGCCGGCATGGTCGCTTACTCTTTCAACCCCCCCTCACTGCGTCAGATTTCAATGTATTATGCATGTTGATCCTCCTCCAATTCTGTATTAACAGTAAGGTAATATGATAAAAATTTGACGGTGCTGTAGCGCAAAGCAGCGCGACGCCGGAGATCCCAGCGCGTACCTGAGACAGAAGAAGTGCCCTGGATGTTATTAACAGGGAGGTGATGCCTGCAGAGGCAAAGTCCAGCTTCGGAGGCTCGTGTTAAAATACCGCCTGCTGGGTTCCTGTGGAGTCTTGGAAGTGCATGCCACTGGAGCTGTTGGATCCTTGGCCGCCTGAAGTCGTTGCCAGGTCAGAGGAGGGCAAAAGGCTAAGAATCCAGGAAAAAAAAAAAAAAATTACTGTTCTAGAATTTTAAATTCCCGAAATCAATGTATGTTCTGTGATCAGTATACCAATCATATTACTATTGAAGCTGGTACTTCCAAGTGAGAAATCATGGCCACAAGTAATCATGGCCACAAGATTCAGACAGGGGACATGCTGATATGGCCGTGTTGGTTGGCTTTGGCTAGACGATCTGAAGGAAATGAACATGCCTGGTGGCCCTGGTTATGCATGCTTCATTTTCTATTTAATAAATGGTATAAAAGAAAGCTCGCATCTTGGACTATGACTTCTTATGAGCCAATCGACCAATAAAAGTGGTTGCATCGTATAGTCAGAATCAACGGATTAATGGAGGATGATGAGCAAGACTGGAAGGTTTCCAAGGACATTTTGGCAAAAAGTCTCAAGGTGGTGCCAGCTTTGGAATAGATGAGTCTGAAAAGGTTGAATCCATAAATACCTGCACCATTATCATCATACTGTTTGGCTCCCCAACCCAACCCAACCTGCATGCGACAGCGGAATCACCTCGGCCAGTGGGTGGCTGTCTTTAAATCGACCGCAACCACGTTCCGACGCTCCACTGTGTACAGAATCGTACTTGGATCATAAACCAGCATGTCGTCACATGCAGCAGGAACATTAAATTAGCTTGTAATCCTGACAAAAGAGATGAAATTGACAAGACTAGCAGCAACCCCAACGACCAAAGTCATGGATGCAGGCTTTGATTTGCATGAATAAAACACACACATGGTAGGAAAGGAACTAGTTTGGAGGTAAATCGTACCTGTGGTTAGTAGATCTAGTTTTGCAGACATCAAGGAAAAGATTCATCCTCGCGAATACACGAACGGCTACATCAATTTGTCAACACAACAGCAGAGCGAGACACCATGAGCTATTCAAAAGAGTCCAAAAATAGTTAAAACTCGTGGTAATACGCCTTCCTTCAGTTCAGAACACTAGTTAAGCACTGCAAAGATTCCAAGACTAACAGCCAGCGGATGCAGAGAGACACAAACCATAAAACATATCCCACATCCACAACAAAAACCAGGAGAACAAAACTGTGAGATATTTTAAGACAAATGTATCCATTAAATTATTTTCAGAACAATATAGGCACTAAGAGATTTACAAATGACAACAATGATGACGAGTTCAATAGAATTTTTGACATCCTTTTCTATGATTTGTGTAAAATAACTTAACCGTGTAATGGCACCATGCTTAACATAAAAAACGAAAAATGGGGAAAAGAAAACTGTGCAAACTCTGGAATCGCTACTCACAAATATGCTGGTTAGTACCCTTCCTATCAGGTGTATCTCCAAGCAACCAGAGCACCTATTAAGATGAGTGTATATAACTAAGAGAACCAAATGTAGAAGTGGTTGATATCTGGGGGATATTAGGTTAGCCAGTGACCAAAACTGTGTGTGAAGGAATCAAGGGCGAGGCTAGACCCTGAACAGATAATTTAGGTCCTCCAATGTCAAGCGAGTTTGGCCAGCACCAGATTCATCTTCTCCAAATGCGGAAGCAACCATCTCCCTTTTCTTTTCCTGTAAACAAATAATCTATCACATTAGCACAAGCATATAGTAGTGAAGGAAGAAGCTATTATTTGCAAGAGTTAAATCCTGATTCTCACATCTACCCTACAAATTAGGTCTGATGCATAACAACAAACTCAGATACCTTCAAACCATCAACTTATTGGATCACAAGTATCAAAGGGCCAACACTAGAAGCAGATCATTTTGATAAGAAATGATTCTCAAGTATGTCTCCTAATAAATTAGTCCCTGTACATGCCAACATTATGTTTGAAATTTTCTTCTCCATAAAACACATTCTTGTATCCATAAAAATCAGTTAAAGACCTAATCTGCCGAGCAAACTTTTACTGGGAAATGGTGCATTTAAAATTAATAAAACAGCCAATATTATTATAAGAGGTCAACTTAGAATAATTTTTGGATTGGAAGGCGAATCTGATTCTGATCTCAGTAAGAATCAATAACATTGACAGCTTGAGACAGTTGATTCAATAGGTTCACACTGGAAAGAAGAACTGTGATAACCTGATTTTCTGAAACTACTTCAAGGCTTCAAAAGATCTAAATGTTAATGCATTTTCTTGTTTCACTTTTTCTTTGTTTTGTTTCCTTTAGGGCTTTGTATGCAGATCATAAGAGAAACTCATTATGGGAAGAGTAACAAAAAAAGTCACAAGTGATACATGATATTTTACTGTTTGAAGGTTCTTACCCAACATCAGTTAGTTCTAATGGACCAATGGAAATCTCAACTTTGCATAAAATAAAGGGTGTGGATGGGCAGTAGGCCAAAACTAGCTCAAAACAACAATTGACCAAGAAAATGAGCTCAAACTGAGAACCAATAGACCAGTGAAAGATTTAGAAAGAATGGTCAGGGTTGCCAGTAATAAAGCAACAGGCCTCAAACATTAACCAAAATTACCTTTGTGTTAGAACCCTTGCGGATTCTAAACTTGGGGTTGATCTCTTTAGGGGATCGGCCTCCTTGGAACTCTATAGGGGTTCCTCCCTCAAAGTTGCTGTTCAAAAGCTGCAGAAAATATTCATCTATTCCTTATGAAAAGAGGATGAATACATGGCTATTTATAGGGCTTCTAAACCCTAACTCCTAATAAGACTCCTACTCAAGACTCCCACTTCTAACCAACTCCTGATAGGACTCCTACTCAAGACTCATATTCCTTTACAACTCCTAATTCTTCTCTAAGAAACAACCTCCTAACCCTAGCCGACCTCTTCACCCTTTTTAATAGGGGTCGGCTTAGGTAGATTTTACATGAATGTCCCTCTCAATTAGGACTCTCCTAGCTAGAGTCCTAACAGACCCGCCCTCTTCAAATCAGCCTTGTCCTCGAGGCTGACGATTCATGAATTTGGGAATTTAATCTTCAAGTCGTCATAGTTCTCCCAAGTGGCATCTTCTATTGGTAGGTTCGCCCACTGTATTAGCACTTCAGTAGTGGGTCGTTGTCGTCGAGTCACGATCCGTCGATCAATAATGACACTTGGCTGGGTTTGGAGTTCTCCTTGGGTAGTCATATTTGGTGGGTGGCTTTGGGCTGTCTCCAAGCACCTATTTACAACTTTCGTCTGACCATCAGTTTGTGGGTGATATGTCGTACTCCTTTTTAATTTAGTACCCTGTATATGGAATAACTTTGTCCAAAATCTGCTCGTGAAGGTGCAAGTAGAATTTGTCACAAGCACAATGCGCCCCTTATTATGTAATTCTTTTGAGTCTCAATTGTAATGAGCCACGGAGCTTGGTGCTTCCTTCAATTTTTTTATGATCTTACTAGTCTCCGAATCTTCCTGTCATTCCATCTTAATATCCTCAAGGAAGTCGTTGGTCGGAAGTGAATCGGCCGAAAATTTAGCTTGCTTGAGTAGCTGCGAAAGCGCATCTGCAACAACATTCTCTTTCCCCTTTTTGTAAGTTATTTCATAATCAAATCCAAGAAGTTTTGTTACACATTTTTGCTGTGTGGGGGAAGATATCTTTTGCTCCAAGAAATATTTTAGGCTTTTATGACCGGTCTTGATTTGAAAGCATCGCCCGATCAAGTATGATCTCCACCTCGTTACTGCGTGCACAATGGCGAGCATCTCCTTATCATATGTTGACATGTTTTGATGGGAGGGAGACAATGTCTTGCTAGTGTATGTGAGTGGTCGACCATCTTGCATGAGAACGTCTCAAATTCCAACTCTAGATGCATCGGCCTCAATGATGAAGGGTCGGTTGAAATCTGGTAGCGCTAGCACTGGCATCGTCGTCATTGTTGCCCTAAGTTTGTTGAAGGCAGCGGAGGCTTTGTCCGACCATTGGAAGGTATTATTTTTCAGTAGAGGAGTGAGTGGTGCACTGATCTTTCCATAATTTTTCATAAACTTGCGGTTGTAGCCTGTTAAACCAAGAAATCCATGTAGCAATTTTATGTTCCTCGGGGTCAGCCAGTTCTGCATTGCTTCTATTTTGGAGGGGTCCACCATCACACCTTCCTCTGATATGATATGTCCAAGATATTCCATTTTTTGTTGCAGAAAACAAAAATTCATAGTGGTCGTTGTGTGTTCGAAAGGCGATTTTCGATATGCCTTTCTGAAGATTTGTGCTCCCTTTCATCTAGCAATTCATCTACTACTGGAATAGGGTATTTATCCTTGATGGTTATGCCATTGAGAGCTCAGTAATCAACGCATATTCGCCATGTTCCGTCCTTCTTGCGTACAAGTAGCACCGGTGAAGAGTAAAGACTGCAACTTGGCCGAATAACTCCTGTTTCGAGCATCTCTTTTACAATCCTTTCCATTTCATCCTACTGGAGATGTAGATACTGATATGGCCGAGTATTTGCTGGAGGTTTGCTTGGAAGAATCGTTATATAATGATCATGTCGACGGATAAGAGATAGATTGTGCGGTTCGTCAAATATATCTGAAAATTCAGCAAACAAAGGAAGTAGGTTTGGATCTTCAAATTCTATTGGCTCTCCCTTAGTTTGTTGCTCAAGTTGTACCAAAAAGCCGCTGTATGCTTTATGCAAAACCTTCTCCATTTGTTGTGTGCAAATCGTCATTACGTCGCCCCCACATTTCCCATGCAGTATCACCTGTTTCTCCTTACTGTAAAATTTCATAATTAGTTGCATAAAATTCCAAGAAACTTCATCTAATATCGTCAATCATTTAATTCTGAGCATGGCCTCATGATCATCAAGAGGGAGGAAGAAATATGCAATTATCTCTTGGTCCTGCAACAACAGTTTCACTCGTGGGCGCCTATGATCATACTTCAAAATCCGTCCGTCGGTGACCTTAACGTCAAACCTGCTGCAATTCTCGATAGGTAACGCCATCTGGACAGCAACCTTACTGTTTAGGAAGTTATTAGTACTGCCCGTGTCAATGAGAACAGTGATCGGTTGTTGTTTGAGAAGGCCTCCAACTTTCATCGTTTACGAGTTTGAGTAGCCGGCTAGTGCATGTACCGTAATTTCGGTCGGTTGTGGCTCTTCTTTTGCATCTTCTTCATGTTCGAGGCTCTCTTCTGGATGTTCAATGACCTCTTCTACTGGTTCAATCATAAGAAGTCTCCCTTTACTACAACGATGCTCACGGCTCTACGGCTCGTCGCAATGCCAACATAACCCCTTTGCATATCGCTCCCGAAGCTCTTCTCTTGTCAACCTTTTTGGTGTAGGGACTCGGTCGATAGTAGGGGGGGCTGAATGCTTTAGTATTGCTGGTTGAGGAGTGACCCTAGTCCTCCGAGTTTCATGGTTCGATCGCTCCTCTTGATGTCGTGCGAAAGAGATGGCTGCCATAAGCGTGTACGGTTGTCGCGCTTTAACTTCTCCCCGGATCTCCGACTTCAAGCCCTCAATAAAGGTCCCCAATAGCTGTTTTTGAGACCAATCACAAGTTTGATTAGTTAACCTTTCAAACCTGATTTGGTACTCTTAAATGGTGGAGGTTTGTCGGATCTTTGCTAGTTGTCCGTCAATGTTCTCGTAATCGGTTGGTCCGAAGCAGATCAGCAGTCCTTCTTTGAATTGTCGCCATGAAAGGACTCCATAAGTATGTTCAAACCAGTCAAACCACTGTATAGCTGCAATTTTCACCATAAATGCATCCACGGTTTTGTGGTACCGAAAATATCGCTCCGCGCGTGAGATCCAACCAATCGGGTCTCATTCCCATCTAGGGAAATCCACTCTTATGCATGGATAGTTGGGGTCGGTCATAGAGCCTCCCCTTCCTTGGAAGTCATCTCTTCGTGCTTGGTGCGATTGGGTAAAGCTCTCTCCTTGATATGATTTCTTCGAGCTTAGTGGTCGACCTAATCTGAGTTCGGTAAAGAGCGTCCGAATCTTATCCTCCATTCGCGCCTCCAAGGCTTCGAATTTAAAATTGATTGCCTCCTTAAATGTCATAGTATATGCCTCCAAATCTATGATGTTAAGATCTCTCTTTTGTTGTTGGGTTAAAGGCATATATAGGTTGAGAGAAGTGTTGGTCGAAAGGGTTGGTGGATTGGTGGATGTAGGTTACGGTTTAGGCTCGTTTTGTGGCTGTTTTGGGTATAGTTTGAGAGTGTGGTTTAGTGGAGTTCTAGGGCTGTGGATGAAAGTTTTAGATCTGTGATAGATGACAGCAAAGGTTTGATAGAAATCAGTGGAAGTTTGCTGTAGAATTGTGTTATCTTGTAAGAGCAGAATTGTCGTCGAAGAAACAGTAGTTTCTCGATGAAATTTCCACCAAAAACTCGAGAGATTTGAGGAGGGAATTGACAGCAATATCTCAGTTTATATAATAGCAAGGATGTCCAATTTAATCAAGAAAATTTCGACAGTAACAGCAAGAAAATTGGTGCAAGTTGCGATAGCAGAATTCTCGTCGAAAAATTTTAACGGTTTACGACGAAAATTTACAGCAACATAAAATTGTTTTTAGAGATGAATTCCTCAATAGATCAATCTTAGATGGAAGTCAAGATGATCTATGAAGTGTATAAGAAGTTTCATTAAAAAAAAATGTAAATAGATGGGTTAAAGCAACAATATGCGACTGAAATTTTCTGCAGCACAGATTTTTAAATATAGCATATTGGACGTAAAAGATCAGTAGTTTATATTGAGAATTTTTTGACAAAACTAAAGGAAAATCTACTGTTAGGAAGTGTCAAAGCTATCATAAAAATTTCGTAGGAATTTGGATAGAAAAAACGTTGTATCAAGATCAAACAAACAGTACTACGCGGTTGAAATTTTACAATGCATATTTTCAAGTATAGCAGATTAGACGTAAAAGATCAATGGTTTATATTGAGAATTTTTTGATAAAACTAAAGGGAAATCTGCTGTTAGGAAGTGTCAAAGATATCATAAAAATGTCGTAGAAATTTGGATAGAAAAAACACAGTAGCAAGATCAAACAGACAGTGCTATGCGGTTGGAATTCTGCAATGTATCTTTCGTCGTAGAGATGAAAGCTTTGTGACGAAAAGTTTATGCAGTAATATAGGAACAATTTTTTTTTTGGATTTTCAAATAAGGATAACTAAATTGCAGCAGTAGTAAGGTAGGAAACCAGAACCTGTTGCAATTCACGGGGAGATCAAAGGATGATCTGCGGTGGTGGAGATGATGGCGGAATTTAGCGACGATCTTTTAAGCAATTGTGGGAATTGCTTTGGGTGATTGTGGAGAGCTGATGGATGGCTGTGGAAGGGCAGCAAAATGCCAAGAACGCTGCTCTGATACCAGGTGTTAGAACCCTTGCAGATTCTAAACTTGGGGTTGATCTCTTTAGGGGATCGGCCTCCTTAGAACTCTATAGGGGTTCCTCCCTTCAAGTTGCTGCTCAAAGGCTGCAGAAAATATTCATATATTCCTTATGAAAAGAGGAGGAATACATGGCTATTTATAGGGCTTCTAAACCCTAACTCCTAATAGGACTCCTACTCAAGACTCCTATTTCTAACCAACTCTTAATATGACTCCTACTCAAGACTCATATTCCTTTACAACTCCTAATTTTTCTCTAAGAAACAACCTCCTAACCCTAGCCGGCCTCTTCACCTCTTTAATAGGGGTCGGCTTAGGTAGGTTTTACATGAATGTCCCTCTCAATTAGGACTCTCCTAGCTAGAGTCCTAACACTTTGTCTTGAAAAACTAGATACAACGTATTTGATTTTGCAACTTTTTGAAAATGTAATGCCTAATATAAATCATGTTTCTAGAGAAGCTAATCAGGCTGTTAACAAAGGACCAGCTACCATTTTGAACTCAAATCCATAGAAAATTATTGAATGCCTGGATCTTAGTTAATAAAACTGTTCCGTTAATAGAAGAATAGAATGCAAAATTTGGATAAGGATCTTACTTAACTGGAGCTTGGGTATGTTTGACTGTTATTTGAAGATGTAATGCATAATATAAATCATGTTACTAGAGAAGCTAATCAGGCTGTTAGCAAAGGACCATCTACCATGTTGAACTCTGATGCCATAGAAAATTATTGAATGCTTGGATCTTAAGAGTTTTTCTGTTAAAAAAGGCAAAATTTTGATAAGGATTTTACTTACTGGGACTTGGTTCTGTTTCACTGTTATTTGCACAGATTTCAATAAGGATTTTTTTTTCCACTATGGAATTCTCTCTGCCATATTCATCTACCCTCTTTGTTTATTTCTTGCTCTTCCTCCTATCGACTGTGAATTGTTGAGGAATTAATTCAGCAAGACAGGAACTGTTTACCTCAATTTTATCTAAATATACTCTGTTTGATTGAGATTGATGTTTATATGAATAAACTGCTTCAAGAAAGGTACAATCAATTCAACTGAAATACATAAAAACAACTGGAAATTTCAACAATTTCTTCTCAGGAGTTCCAGTTGTTTTGGAAGAAACTGTCTGGTTTTAGTTGGAGTTTACCCAATTAGAAAATATCCTATTAATGGCTAAAATTAAATATGTTAAGCTTTCCTTTTTTATATTTTTTAAGACATCTTGGACCATATGCATAAAATAAGCATTCAAATAAGACTTATCCAAGCTCAAGCCAAACATGTTGAAGCTCTGCTATTGTTGAAGCCACATGAATATTTTATGAAAATATTTTGCATAAAGAACAGACTTGTTTTTCAAGATCCCATCATTCCTCTTGCTCCTTCTGGCGGAGATTACGGTAGTTATTTCACCCTGGTTTGTCCTTTACTGTCAGGGGGTTGGGAGTGCTATTATGGGCATTTGTTCAGAGTATGAACCTTCCACTTCTACAAGCAGAGTCCCTTTTTTGGACTGCAGGTTTATCGTTGCTCAAGACTAATTGGTTAATTTTTTGGGACTTCCACATAGAGGCACATAGATTTTACAAGGAGACTGTCCTCCCAAGCTCTTGGGACTCTTAAGAGAGGCCAATCCAATGGATAGCTTTTAAGCAGAGGTTTGGCTGTCTTATCCTAGTACTGAGATTGCAGCCAGTCACCAACACACTTGGTTTACCTGGTCGAATTGCCAAAATAGTGAGCAGACTATTTAAAGCCACATAGACAGCTAAATCCAAAACACTCAGGGATGGCCAGGACCAAAATCAGTTATTTTGAACATTGAGCTAGCAACTATTTTTCACAAGAGGTCACTCTACCAGAATGCAAAAAAAAAAAGGGCGAAAAGTTACTTCTAACAAACTAATAGCATCATGTTCTGCGGACCAAAGAATGCACATTTCACGTCAAGCACTTGCTCAGCTATATGAAACTTCTGTTGAAGAAACATAACCTCTTTAGAACAACATAACCATAGATATTTTGTGACAAGAAAATATAAGTATAGGAAGGAATTAAAGTCCTCAACAGCCTGATATGGTACCTGGAGAGCCAAGATGCGGTCTTCCACTGTGTCCTTCACTGTCAAGCGTGAAACAGTCACAGGACGAGTCTGGCCAATTCTGTGTGCTCTATCAATTGCCTGGTCCTCAGTAGTAGGATTCCACCATAAGTCTAGAAGAAGAACATGACAGGCTACCACCAAATTCAGACCAAGACTTGCGGCTTTCAGAGACATAATCATTACAGTAACCTGTAACAAAGTATCTTAAATACAGCATACGAAAGAAGAAAAAAGGTTTAGATAGTTGACAAAAGAATATTGTGACTCAAAGATTCATGGCAGACCTCCGGAAGCATGTTGAAGTCTTTGATTGCTCTCTCCCTAGCAGCAACTGACATTGTCCCATCAAGTCTCCTGTACTGTATACATGAATCTTTTAATGGAACTTCCAATAAATCCAACATTCTTGTCCACTGAGAGAAGACAATGGCCTTTTCAGATGTATGACAATTTTGATTGGAACTCTTTCTGTCATCTGTGTCAACAGAACATATCTGATTTTGCAAGGAGACATCAGTTTCTTCAATAAGTTTCTCAAGGTTGCAGTTCGGAAGAGAACATTGAGATTTAGGCAGTGATTGCAAAATCTCAACAGCTGCTTTTACTTTAGAAGAATAAGAAGATAACCTATTTCCACTGGTTTCAGCTGCATGTACCATTGCAGAGCCACAACCACTAGAACAACATTCCTCAACAGGTAATTCACATATAGAACTTACTAATGTGTTTCTGGAAAATACCGAAGCAACACCTAATCGAACTTTGCAGTCAGCTGAAGGGCAGATGTTGTCATCCCCGTTAAGATGCTCAGAAATACACTGGTTGCAGAAAACGTGCCCACATATAGTAACAACCGCATCTTCAGGTGGATCCTATAAACATCATATAATCTTAATAAAATAGGCTCATCAATATTGTACCACCAACTAATAAGCTCGTTGTCACGTGAACAACAGAAAGTAGAACAAAAGAATTCAAAATCTAGTGACAAAACAATTATAGTATATTTGGATGTGTTGATAACAAGAAATATCAAAATCTAAAATACTATTCCCGATAAAAATTTGGACTAGTTTTTTGGTTAGCAAATACATTAATATGGTTATCTTGCATTATTCACTGAAGTTACTGAAAGAATATATAAGCAGTACAGTAGTTTAGAGGTTCTGTTTACCTGATCTAGAGAAAATTTCAGTTATTAGATGAGAAAATAGACTACAAGTAATATTATGAAATCAAGACCCAAACAAATGTACAGTTATATGAAGATTCTAATGGATACTGAAAATATATATTTTGATGGACCACAAGTGAAAAAAAATACTTACATTACAGATTGTACAAATTGCCAAGCATGCTTCCAAACAACTCAACAGATACTTCTGTTCCTCATTAGGAAGTTTTCTAACCATTTCAATGGAAGACCTCCTGACAGAATTAGAATCATATCCATTTACCAAAAGGCGATGATCACAAGCCTGCCTAAGCCGTAAGAGCATTAACAAAATATTCACATAGTTTTGTTTGACAGTTCCCTCATTTGCATAAACCTGACAATGCAAAAGCGAAAGTTTAAACTTGAAGCTCCAACACATATCCAAGAACACAAGCCACTATTGCGAAAATCTAAATTGTGAAGAAAGACTATAAACAGGATCCTATGCTTTACAAAGAAAGATAATATATTCCCACCATAGTTGAACATTCAGATATAGTAAGCTTGACTAATGCAAATTTGGGATTATCTTCAATTCAAGAGCATGTCGACTAAATTAACAAAAAAAAAATCAAGAACAAGATTCGTTGTCGTAGATAACCTTAAAGATAAGGTAACAACAATAATTATTTCAAAAATAATATTCACCATAAGTGATCTTAATGACAATAAGTAATGCAAAAGCAACATCGAGAGAAATTTAAAAACGTGAGAATGTACCTTAAACTGCTCACGAGATTCAGCTTCTAGATTAGTGTAGAAAGTCCGTTCCTCCTCTGAGAATTCCACCTTCTTCAAAGTGATAGTCTTCGTTGGCAAGGTAATAATAGGCTTACCATCAATCATACTGCCTGAAAACGAAATCATGATGAATATGCAGTTGTTGCTAAGCAGTAAATACAGAAGTAAAAGAAAGAATTGTATGATTAGAAAAAATGTGCTTGATAAATAAACCAAGATTTAGAATCAAGCCATTCTCATGGTCAAAAACATCCGGAAGATTTCCTACAGTTGGAAGTGGAGAGGAATCCTACTCAATCAAGTATGTACAGAACCATGAAGTCCAAAAAAGGATCTTGATTTACAGATCTTATCAAATATACTCATCTCCTATCGAACTAACAACTTAGAATAGTTTATTCGTCCATATCGTATTGAAGAATAACAAGGGAATGTATGATCACATTTGGAATTTTTAATAAGTGGCAATTCCACTAGTTACTGCAGGGAAGTAATTGGTGTGTGATCCATAGAAGATTTGTATGCTGACCTAATTTACTTGGACACACACTAGGGCACACAGCCTAAACACACATGCACATGCCAGTGAGGCCACCTAAAGCCTAATAAGATATCCAGGGGGGGCTAATCACACCTTAATTCCTTTTTCCTGGGAACATTAGATATATGGGAAAAGGTTCTCATTGAGAAAATAAAAAACAAAAAGCAATATAAATCTCAACAAACTCATACAAAAAGGAAAAACTGAAATCTTCATAGTTCTTCAACGAATCAATGGAAAGGGCATCCATCAGTAATGTCAATTCAAAACCACTGCAATAATAAGAATTGAAGTCACCTTTAGTGCGACGTAGCATTACGGTCTTCAGAACAGCTTGAAGCTTTTTGTAGCCATTTGTTGGATTCCGGCTTATTGGAATCTTTATCATGGAACAAAAAGTTTTATAAGTAGCAAATGGATCATATCTTAGAAACCGGAAATAGCTATAGAGGTCATCAACTGCATTCTGTATGGGGGTCCCAGACAAGCACCACCTTCTCTTAGCCCGCAGACCCCAACATGCCCTTGCAACTTGAGTCCTGTAATTCTTAATGCTTTGAGCTTCATCCAAAATTACCCTGAACCACCCAACTCTTGCAAGAGGTCGAGCAGCAGACTCGAGCAATGCACTCTGGGTACATTTTTTCATGGAGTTTGGAGAACCCTTCCTTTTTTTATCAGACATGTGGCTCATCAGACTCTCAGGTTTTCCTTTCTCCTCATCATCTTTACCACCAAGTGGCTGCTTGGGGACTTCCATGCTTACAATTGCATATGTTGTTAGTACAACATCATATTGTGTGAGTTCATGGGGATCCTTCGTTCTATTACTTCCATGATATACTAAAAAGGACAGGTTAGCCCTGCTGGTGACTCTAGTTTTTAGTTCCTCAGCCCATTGTCGAAGAACACTTGTAGGACAAACAACCAAAGTTCCAGCTGCAGGCCTACTCATTACAGTAACCACAGAGTTCTCCTTTCTCTTGGATCCAGTGACCTCTGAAAGACTTGATATCCGGGGCTGCTTTGGTCCGTCAATCTCAGAGGCATTGTCATTACCATCATCATCATCATCATCCAGATTCAAAGCCTCAAGTCTATCTTGTTTACCCATAGAAGAAGATGATTTAGGTGGTGGAGATCTCTCCTTCAAGATTAGTGCTATTGTAGATATTGTTTTACCTAGTCCCTGAAACATAAACACATTTCAAATGAGATTATTTCTTGGATACCAAATGTGATTTGACCCTTACCTATATCACATTGGTAAAAGATGACAAACCTACCTTCCTGATGTATGTTATTTTGCTGATGATATTATTTTATTTGATGAGAATTCAAATGAAATTAACGATCAATTATTCAATAAGATTGAACAATTGATGAAGATATTATCCATAGAATAAAAATAGAATGATTAAAATTGTAAAGGAGTTTTGTGAGATCATCGATTACCCTTAATATTAAGAGAAAAATATTATAAGATAGTTGTTAGACTAATAAAATACTTTATGGATCTGAGTATTGGACAGTTAAAAGATAATATATACAAGAAGTTTATGTTTCTGAGATGAAAGTAAAAAGATTGATGTGTGGACTTACTAGAAAAGATAAAAAAAAATTGTTTATGAATATATAGTCATGTGTTAAGGAGATCTATAGTTAGGAGATCTAAAATGATTATTATTAGTAGTACAAGAAGAAATAGAAGACGATCAAAAAAGACTAATAGAAATTAGAAATATAAATTGAAATACTCTAAGTTAACTAAAGTTATTACTCTTTATAAATACCAATGGAGGCAAAGATTCATGTAGCCAATCTCAAATGATTGAAACTATTCAGCTTTATTGTTGTTGTATGATACGTTGGAATATGATTTTACGATTATTAAATAAGATAGGAACCAGCAAAGGGCTACATGGACCTGATCATCTGCAAGTATCCCACCAGAGCAGTGTGGACCAACAGTTTCCTTGTGTACCATCCAAGATAAAGCTATTCGCTGTAACAAAAATGCTCCTTTCAGGCCATCAATGGGGAAAAGAAACCAACAGCAAGTGCCTTAACCACAGAAAACATTAACTAAAAGAATCCAATCAAACCTGGTGTCTCAATAAAGGAACTGCCAACACTCCCTCAGGAGGGCTAGCCTCAGATTTTGGCTGAGAAAGATCCTGTCATGCAACACAAGCCAAGCATATCATGGCAGTACATATATATAAAAAGCAGCTATCACATAAAAATCAGATAAAAGATTACTTCAGTGCAAACAGCAAATAGAGCCACACATCATATATAGGAGGCAACAAGATAAAGATTGTGATAAAATTTAAGAAAAATTGCAATGTCAATGCATGCCTGCCACTGAAGTACATAAGTCTCACCAGTAAGATGAAAATAATTCCACCTTTTTAATCTGAACAGCCTTAGAACAAGAGTATCACAATGACATAGAACTAAAGTGCAAGGTCGCTAGACTATGTATCGTCTTATATATATATATATATATATATATATATATATATATATATATATATATAAGAAGAGCAAGTACAGTTCCAGGAGGCTCCCAACTATGTACTGATAGACAATGGTTAGGCAGATCAGATATCTTCTTTTGCAACCTTGAATCCATGATGGAACCACTTGGAAATGAAGCAACCTTATGTATGCTACTTACCATCATTCAAAAGGAAATATGCTTGATGATTATGCAACTAATCTATCAAAAGCCCTTCACTGAATCACACTTGCATAACATGTCATCTAAATATAGATAGAAGATCATGATTTAATATACAAATTAACTGGTGCTTACGAGTCCAGCCAAGCACAGGTAAAGGAACAACAAGCTAAGTACCATTTTTATTCTTATCCAGTCACATTGGACAGCACAAATCTGTATATGATGCTCAGTATCTCGGATATCATGATTGTGCACCATTTCATCATTTCCCAAAACTGGTCAGTCAGCAGTTAAAACCTTGGGTTGGATAACTAGATCATATGCAAGTATTCAAATTGAATAGACAAGAACATCAGTTAGATCCATATCTAAATTGACCTCTCTAGTTTTATTCTTATCCAGTCACATTGGACAGCACAAATCTGTATATGATGCTCAGTATCTCGGATATCATGGTTGTGCACCATTTCATCATTTGCCAAAACTGGTCAATCAACAGTTAAAACCTTGGGGTGGATAACTATATCATACGCAAGTATTCAAATTGAATAGACAAGAACGTCAGTTAGATCCATATCTAAATTGACCTCTCTAGTTTTCCTCGAAAAGGTAATAATAAAAAAATCATTTGGTTATACATACTTAGAACATAGAAACACCCACGTAACTAGATGGTGTATCACAACTTGAGAAGAAGCAGTGACCACATTATGAAAGGTAAATGTGACTTTGAGAGATATGGGCATTAAGGTAAATGCATTGAACATGGCATTGGTGATTGTGGTGGGGGGGGGGGGGCAACCAAGAAGCATTTTACTGAGAAAAAATTGATGGGACCATCCATAAAGAGATGGTCTGCATTCCGATTTACTGCCAGTACATATGGATCCAAGTGAGACCTTGTTCCTTGATATATATGACAGACAAACATTGAAATTTCAAATGGACCAGTATGTCCCATACGGCATTCATCAGTCCACATATGAACTGGCACATGGACCAGGCTAAATTGACCAGTCCAATCAATTTTAATGCTACTGAGCATGAACCAAGGAACAACCTCATTGCTTGACTTTTGGATCCAAAAGAAACCAGTTAAGGTTCTCTTTTCCAATGATTGAAATATCATACCATACCAAAGTTTCGACCTTCTGTCAGTACGGTACTGTATATCGAACGGTATATATATATATAAAACAATGTGCGACATCACCTCTCTTCTCCCCAGGCGGGGCAACGCCACAGAAAAACAAGGCGACGTCGCCTCTCTCTCTCTCTCTCTCTCTCTCTCTATATATATATATATATATATATATATATATATATATATATATATATATATATAAAATAAAAAATACCGATTGATAGCGAGCGGTCCGCGTACCGGTTTCCTGTAGGACCGATACGTACCGCCCATACCAAACAGTATTATTTGAAACTGTATACCTTGCTCTTTTCCCCTTTTTAACCCAAAAACCCCTCATTTCATGTGAACAACAATGCATCTACTGACAATGGTGGCCAGAGGGAAGATTCTCTAGTTCCCACTACAAAGACACAGACAGGTGGAGCACGGACTGAAGAAGATACATGCAGTTTGTTTATGGTTGCAAGGATACAGGAAAAGATAAGGTAGTTGATGGCTACAGGAGTCAGGAAGTACCCATTTGCAGTATTTCCACCAAAATGAATCTCATGGCCAACAGTTTCACTGTGATAGTTGGTCATTTTTAAAGGAGTTGGATGCGTCATATAGCATTAAACACCAGTAGAACAACAACAATAGTAGCTCTAGCACAGTAATCCTGCCAAGTCGTATGTACTTACCACGATCATCCTTTTTGGTGTCTCCTACCATACAGGTTGTTAAGGATGATCAGATTACAATTGTCACCATATTACTTTATTGGTGGGATGTTAGGGGATTGACAAACAACACACACAAAAGATTAGTGTGGCTGAGATCAAAATATCTATGTGGATGAGCAGAGTAAAAAGAATGTAAAACCCAGCATATAAGGCTTCCGCCAATGCAAGATCCGAGTAGAGTCAGTATGTCAATATGTCACTATGTCGATACATACGCGATCCAACCAGTCCAAGTAATGATCAGTATGGGTTCCATCATGAAATTTTAAACCTTGGTTGTAAGGTCACTCAGGCTTTATAGAATTGGATGTTAGGGGATTGAGAAACAACATGCACAAAAGATTAGTGTTGCTAAGATAAAAACATCCAAATGGATGAGTGGAGTAAAAAGAATGATAAACCCAGCATACAAAGCTTCAGCCAATGCGAGATCCAGAGAGGGCCAATGTACAAAGCCTTAAACATAGAGTTATTTCCAAGATTTGAACCCTGGTCTTCAGGTCGCATCAGAGCAACCTTGTACCAAGGTCTGCCCTCTAACAATAAATATCAATGAGTCAATACAATAAACATGGTAGGCCAAGAGACCAAGCAACATAAAAGCATACACCATCAGAGGTCTCATAGTAGTTTTCATTTACACTTTGGCTTCACAAAATTCAAAACTAAGACATCAATTTTCGCCAGCCAATGAATCAACAATTTCTCTATCAATCTCCAAACTAAAAAATAAATCCAACAAATCATATGGAATTGAGCGCACATTAGTGAAAAAGGGCATGCGAGCAATACCTGAAGCAATGATATACAACTTACAAATGTCATTTTGACAATGTGGCCCTCAATCATATGAAAAGTACCGAAGAAACGACAACTACAAAATACTGGAGCAATAATTACTTAGAGAACAATAAAAGATTGGAACATCTCAATTTTAAAATAGAAATAGCATCATGTCCTTAAAACTTAGCTTATCACTCAAACAATCATTAAGACAATATTCTTAGTGAATATTCACAATAAAGTTCCTTGTGTCAAATTGAAAGTTCTTAAACCAAAAGAAATATATCTAGAATCTAAGAAAGATATTTAAAACATATTGCGTGACAATATATGTGCCCAATACTAATATGCTGGGTATTCATGAATCAATTATTAGCAAAAGGAAAGGCATCATGAAACCTGCAACGCCAGCCGAAAAGTCGATCTCTCATCATTTGCCTTGAGCTTCATCCCTATATATCTAGGCTGACATGTCTCAACAAATCCAGAGTGCTCTAACATAGGATGACTTTTTACATTCACTGGTGGTAGTAATGGGCGGGCAGAATTGCTGATATCATCAAGAATAAATATGTCAGCATCATCATCCACACTTATGCAGCTTGTCATGAAATTCCTTTTCGGAGCATCATCATTACTTTGATTGGGACCATTGTGTTGTTTATAATGAGATTCATGCACCTGATCTCTTTCAATCTTTGTTAGTGTTTTTTGCCAATTGTTGTGTGGATTTGTCAAAGAATCAGGGACCCATTCTTCTGATTCATCAATAACAAATACATGGGCATCATCAGAGGTAGAATTTCTACTAGATGGTAGCGGAGAAGAATCTATACTAGATTCACTCTTGAGACTAAAATCATCTAGATGGCACTGCTCAGCACAAGTGTCTGGCAGTGGTTCATCACTGTCCACCACTGGGAAGTCTTGCAACAAGGACCCAACTGATTCCAATCCTGTGTCCAACTCCACTGCACTGCTTCTAGATGAACTTTGGATTGGATGTCGGCCATATTTTTCATACTTCCTCTGAACTATTACTTCATTTTGATGTGACAAATGAGGCAACCGTGTGTTCCCTAAGCCATTTATGGAACCATTGGTAGGAGACTCTCCATATAACAAAGAGCCACCGCCACAAGCATTGTACATGATATTGGTTGTCTCAGTAGTATTTGACTTAGAATTAATCATATTTAGGAAAGTTGAATCAAGATCCATAGACGAATAAGGACAGAGACTTTTTTCCTCCAACAGAGATTCTTTCCCAGTGGCTCTTCTGTCATCAAAGCGCTTACCATCAGTTAAACCAGACTTTTCATTTATCATATTAAGCGATGAATCTGCAAAACAAAAACTAGAAATATTATCAGCCAAAATATTCCTAGTGTGTGCAAAATTACATTGGGAATGCTGTTCCACCTTGCAGTGCATGAACGATGACATACCATCTGCATAATATTCATGCTTTATGACCCTGTTCTGCAATGAATTCTCAGCTCTCATCTGATCAATGTCCTTTTGGTCATTGTCCAAGTACAAATCATGCCCAAAGTCAGCATATTTGGAGAAATTAAGGTCTGTTTCTTCAGCATCATCGAAGCTACAATTTTGTAAGCACTGAAGTTGTTGATTGTCGAAGTTGCTACCCGTCAAACTGTCATAGGAGCTTCCAACCAAATTCATTGTATCACCACTCATTGGAAAAAAGTGACAGTCAAAGCTTCCTTCAGATCCAAAAGAAATTCCTAAATTCATTTCTTTTTTACAACCTGATACACCCATAACATTTGATGGACCCCATTGATAACCAAGTCTTTCATTGAACTCCCTACGAGCTGAAGGTTCTAACAGACCTAAACATAGCATTAAGAGAAAAAGAGAAGAAAGAGATTTGTCATGCATGGACTCTGTATTGACTTAACAGGAATAATTCATGTACATGATGCTATTTTCCACCAAAATATATTAACACAAGTGTGTACAACAGAAGTACCAGCATGAGGCTGAAAGGCATTATCAGGATTTGCTGGGCCACCAGCTAGCTTGCTTTTGTCTAAACATTCTAAAGTAACCTGTATATTACATCTCAAAGAAATTAGTGTCTATCAAATTTTTAAAAAAAATAACTACTACCATGTAAACAAAAGAAGTAACACAAGCTCAATAAGGATTATATTCAATGAAAATTCTAAGGTTTTATAGAGATGAGATCATTACGAATCACCGAATTAAATATCTTAGGTACCTAAAAGGACTATCTTAAGATAGTATGTAAATATGTGCAATTTATACCAGTTTGGTTCAGCTTGAACAAGTCAAACCAAGACTAATTAGGACAATATTTGAGTGTATGTTGTATCTAGCATTGATAAACATAGTTATAACTTATAACTAAGATCAATTTGCATTTGCTTCTTTACATTGTTTCAATGCTTTGAGAATGGAGCTTTTCAGTCTACGGATACTTGTGTCTTAAACAAGCTTGAGGTATAAGTCAACTGAGTTGTGATTAAAAAGTCACATTCTATTAAATTATTTAACAAATGCATACTATTCTATTGTTTAAAATTTAGTTGCCTTTCATGAATACTATTTGAAATTTTGAACTAGGATTTCATCATAATCTAATGTGTCTGAATCTTTTATTCATCATATTAGTTTACAGTGATTTCAATAGGTGCTCGGGTGCTTGCCTAGGCGCTCGGGCAAGGCGAGGCGAGGCGAGGCCCGAGCGCCTCGCTTCATTTCCAGGCGATGCGCTTCAAAGAGGCGAGCGCCGAGCCCAGGCGTTGGGCGCTTCGGGCGAGCGCCCGGGTTAAACCAGGCGACCGAACCAGCGTTTTAGGTCTGGTTCAGTCTCTGGTGCTTTAGTTGGTTCAATCAAACCAACTAAAACACCGATATCAGCCTTCCTCTCGCGACTTCCCAACCCTAACCCTGCTTGTCGCTGCCGCTGCTCGCTGCTACCGCTGCTGCTCCCACTGCTCGCTGCTATTGTTACCGCTGCCACTATCGTCACTCGCCGCTCCCGCTCTCACTCCCGCTGTTGCTGCTCGCCACTATCGCTACCATTGTCACTATCACCGCTCGTCGCTCCCGCTCCCGCTGCTACCGCTATTGTTGCCACTGTCGTTGCTCGCTGCTCCCGCTTCTTGCTGCTACCGCTGCCGCTGCCACTGTCGCCGCTCGCGTCTCCCGCTCCCGCTGCTCGCTGCTACCTCTTCTCACATCGACTCGATAGTATACTGTTAACAGTATATTAACAGTATACTATTAACTGTATACTAGTAACAATATTTTTTATTTATTAGATTAATAATATATTATTTTGATTTTAATACTCCTAATTTTTATTTATTTGAAATTATTGTTATTATTTTGAATTTTGAGATTTTTTTTATTAATGTGATATTGTGATTTTGTAAGATTTTTTTAATTTAATATCATATTTTTATTTTAAATAATTATATATATTAATCATATTATATATTTTTATATTTTTGCGCCATGCTTCGCTTGGGCGAACGCCTAACGCCTTGGGCGTTTTTGGACCTTGGCGCCTAGCGCTTTTTAAATCATTATTAGTTTAAAATTTCTTATTATTTAATTTGAACTAGGATTTCACCAATAGATAATATGCAAGGTACAACAGGAGTTGTAGATAGATTCCAATAGACTAGTAGCATGTGAAATCAGACATCTAGCTGACCCCAGACTCGTAGTCCGACTAGATATCATGCTAGTGTTTGAGAGCAAGATGCAGCCACACAAAAGTAATGTTACATTGTTACCCCAAACTCGCAGTCCGACTAGATATCTTGTTTCTCTTTCTTTTGTTCCTTTTATCTTCCACTAATTCTCTTGAAAGTTGTTGGATTTCCAAGCTTCCAACTTATCAGGTTACGTAGATTACCCTCTTTTATCTTTTACTTAGATAAAAGCAAGTTTTGAGATGAGAGATTAGGCAAAATTAAAATAAAAACATTCCTTTTATTGGAAATGACATCCAAAAAGTTAGGATACAAACCATCCCTCATTGGAAATGACATGAAAACCCCATACTCTTTAGACTAATCATATACTGCCCCCAGATGTTATCACAAATGATAGAGACTTACCTAATCACTAAATTTAACTAAGACAAGCAGAAAAGTTATTGAAATGCACTCGAGTTTACCACAGTAAGAAAACAAATATTAAATACATCCTGTTATAAAATAAATCCTAAAAACAATTCCTACAACCACCATCGCTAGACACAAGAAAGACACCTCTCACCACAGAAATGAACTGAACATTGTCCTCCACAAAAACAAGGGAAAGGAATAGAGGAGATAGAAGAAAGGGCTAAAAAGAATTCTATCATAGGATGAAGATCCTATTGTATTTATCATAAAGCATTCTTGTTCTATTTGTATTTGTTACATGAAAAGGCATTTTTGTCATTCAAAGTCCAATTGAAAACATTCAAGTAGTCAAAAGAATAAATTTGACAAGCATATCCCTTTGGCTAATGAATGTTTACCACAAGGGCTGGAAATAACAAGTTAGGAAAACATAAGGTTCTTGTTGTAATTCTTGATAAGGGAGGCCTTGTAGCAAAAACACATGGATGAGATGAAAATTGAAATTTCCCTATGAATATAACTATAAATACAATAGCAATATACAAACTTCCATTATCATTCCTCAAAACAGATATCTTTCACATAGAACCAGAAAAAAAAAGTGGCAAACTGGAGTCTACACATAGCACAAGCAGCCTAATGCCCCTGCCAGATGCACTGCGTTCATAATTTAGCATTATGCTACTTGGAATTCCTTTAAACTTTCATACTTCAATAAAAGAAAAGCATCTCATAGTTTGTTTATATAGCAATTCCAAACAAACCAATATTAATATCATTAGAAATTGATTGAAAGTAGCCAAAACCAATCAGACTCAGTTGGAGTCAATCATATTCAGCCAATTCCAACTAATTTATTGACTTCAAAAGAGGAAAAAGATTTGCTTGGATTTCAGTACAAAATGTCAAGCCAGATATTATATAGCATCCAATAGTAGTTCTCTCTTTAAGTTAAGATTAGCTTATTACAACTACAGGATAATATTGTGCTTTCAATATACTTTAAAATAGTGTTAACTTTTAATATTGCTTAAAAGCTAAAAGCAGCTTAAAAATTTTAAATTATTTTCAATAATAGTTTTTCCCTTTTACTTCTCTTTTCTGCCCATTTTTTCTTTTCTTTTAATTATTTTTCCTTCAATTTTTGCTCCTCCATTTTAAAAAAAATCTTTCCTTCTCTCTCTCTTTAGCTCCTCTTTTCTTGTATTCTGCGCTTCATCCCTTCTCCAATCCATACTTCAAATGCATTTGAATCTAAACAGTATAAACAACTCTCCAAAAAGCTTTTGAATACGAACAGGATTAACAGTTTCCCCTCTCTAGAATTCCAACGCTTTCAAATGAGGACAAGAACAACCAATGCCAGGTAGGATTCAAAAGTTGTCTCATTACAGCAGCAGATAGTAGGGCCTTTCACTATCTCCAAAATCATAAGCTGAAAAATTTTAGGCCTTCTGGATAATGTATATATTAGTTGTTACTAAAAAAATATATTTACCTGCTATGATTCATATTTCATAATTGTTTCCATAATATATAATATATATACACCATAGATGTGTTTTTAACTAGCCATATTCAGAATAATGATTTGATAGATAAGAGTTAATAATATAAAGTTTGTGTCCATAAAGTTCCATGTCAGGTTACTTGTCAATGATAATGATTTGATTGATAAGAGTTCAATTGGGACTAATTCTTCAATTATGGAGACAAACTTAGAAACTAAGGGTTGACTAGATATATGAGCTGTAAGTTTAATGTCAAAAGAAGAATCCAAAATATATCTAGAACAGACAATAATAAGAGATACGTATGCAAAAAATTTAGATGTATTAGATACATTACTCAGTTGAGCAGTTAACGAGAACTAGATAGAGTTGGAGTGAGATGGATAGAGTGAAGAAAGCATCAGGAATTTTGTGCAGTTGTCACATATCCTCCAGATTGGAAATAAAAAATTTTCAGGATTTGTGAGGGCAGCCGTATTTTCTGGATCAAATGATAGGCAATTAGAAAACATGCAAAAAAATAGTGTCTATGTGATGAGGATACTGAGCTGTGCGTGGTTAAAAGAATTCATATTCATGAAAAAATAAGTGTAGCACAGTCAAAAGAATAAACTGTTGGAAGACCACATAAAATAGTGTGGACAGTGGAATACTTTACTATAATCGTCACATTATGTCCATTCTTCTATGTCAACATGGACCATAACAACAACATACAAATTTCTCTAAAAAAAAAGAGAATATAACTAGTAGTTGAAAAAGATGATATTGGTGCTTCATGTTTGACCTGACCAAAGTCCCATGAATATTTATCAAACATATTCTAAGAGTTTTTCTTTCTGGTTATCAATATTCAACATAAACTTCTCTTTTTTTTCCAGGGGAACTAGTTCTACATTCAGAATAGTTGTTTGGCATTTCCGTTCTTTTGTTACTCTCCTTTCTCTCTTGATTTTTTTTATAGCAATGTTTGTCTGCAACGGGCAAGACATGAGATGCCCTTTTTTCTTTTTGAAAAAAAAGTAATAAGATGGTGTGAATAAAGTTTTGCTCAAGCAACCTATCATTCTGACAGTTGACACAAATGTAAAGCGATAATGACAACCATGTTCCTCTATCTTGTAGAAATGAAGAAGACAAATTCTCTCATTAGAACCCTTGAGATCAACTAGAAGGCTACATGAAGCTACTACTAATACAAAAATATGATTCATAACCAAAAATTTAAACCTAAGAGTTTAACCTTAAGAGACCTTCCGGATTTTTATTTAATTGCAACACCTTAAAAAGTTATCATGCAAAAAACATGAATCAGCATAGGAAACATTTGAAAAAAGTATGCCTTCCTTTAGTCCCTAAATGTTCTAGGAAAAAACTTCATAAACTCAAGAAATCAAATATCCATGAGACTGATATGTACCAATCAGTAGTTACCTATCAAACCAAGTACCGGTGTGGAGTTATATGTGTTGGTATCGAAGTATTTTATTCAATGATACTAGGTGATACAGGTCAATGTATCGTCCAATATACCAGAATTGTGTTGGTCCAATAGGTTACTGGATATAGTATGAAACTCGTATCTAAGGCCCTGTATAAAATAAGTCTGAAAAATAGTATATATTGGTCAAAACACACCTTTTTACTAATATCAACAATTCCCCTCAAAGTATAAGTTCATAGAACTATTGTTAAACTATTCAAAAGACTCCAATTCAACCAAAAATACTGATAATATCTTCCTTTGGTAACATGTTCAAGATAACTCAATATCCAAAGATTTCTTGGTCAACAATAACCAACTCATACAGAATATACTTCTAAATCAGCAGTAACAATAACAGTTATGAATGTCATCTATAAATTATTAATTTATTAGTGCATAGCACTGGTGAAAGTAGGATACTCTAAATCTGGGGGTCATGTATTTCATCTGTATGAATGGAAACGAGACAAGAATGAAGAGCATTTCGATGCAAGTCCAAATTTCTGATGGTCAAAATATGCGAAATTTCTGACTTCTAAAGGAGGATTGTACCCAGCAAGAGGTTTAGACACTAATCCAATAATGACGACCACAATAAAGTCGTAAGGTCTTAAATATTTGGGGTCGGTTACATGGGACTTTTTAAGCCATTAAGATCCGTAAAAAATAAACCAAAGTCTTATCTTTGTGGATCTTCCTCTGCCTCTTCTCGCACCATTAATAGAATCATTTCACCTATTCTAACTACAACACTATCTTCTGTTTGTACCATCCTAAAGTATTCTTTCTCATTTTATCCTCTACCGAGACTAAACCTAACTGCAAATGAAAACATTCTTTTCCTATATTGCTTAATAATTCCACACATCCATCTTAACATTTTCATCAAATGTAACATAAACTTTTAGTATGCCTTTTCTTAGTGGCCCAGACCTCATAATCGATAAAGCATTGTTGATAGATAAAAACTAACGACTCCTTGCATCTCAATTATCCGAGCTACATGCTGATGGGAAATTGCTTAAAGTTCATAGCTAAGTTATGAATACATATTGAGATGCTGACAGTCAAACTGTAAAAGAAGCCCAGGTCTTTAATAGCAAATCCTAGTGTTCCAAGCAGTTTTAGTCGGAGAAAGAGGAAAAATCGCAGTAGAACCTTGTCACAAATTGATCATCGCAGGATTCAAAACTAAGACAAGGGCATGACCTCCATCAATGGCCCTTTCTTTCAGCTACAAAGAGACCTCGTCAAGGGGTCAATTGCAGCAACTAATCACCATACGGTTCCACGTGTTCCAGATAGAACAACACGAACCTATTACAATCACATATGCTCTTTTTCACGCTGATAATACATAGACCAGTCCTGTTCCCTTAGTTCATCTATACACTAGGCAAAGCAGCTGATCCCCGATCGAGAACATCAAGATCCCATCGGTGACACACGCAGGTTACTAAAAAGCAGGAACCAAAATCTCACACGCAGAGGCCGTAATTCAAAGGGGGGAAAGGGGAATTTTGCCTGGGACTGGTCGTCGGGCGGGAGAAGGGGCTGCTCATCGAGGATGGCATAGAGGCCGTCGACGCTGATGGAGAGGTTGTCATCTAAGAGGAAGGCGTTGTCGGCGTCAAAAGTGTCGAACGAATTCCCCGGCGCATCGGCCATCGGCGTCGTCCCAAACCCTAATTCCGAGAACCGGGGCGTCGTCGTCGTCGTCGTCGATTCGACTCTGCCCCTCAATAATACAAGAGAAGACGACGAAGAAGGGAGAAGGAAAGGAGGGGAGAAACTAGGCAGGAATCGAGGGCTCGGATGTGTCCCTGCCGCATTTTATATAGGAGAAAGAATGGAGAGAAAGGGGGTGACTTCAAGGGAACCGACGAGAGCAGGATTAGCTTTGGTTAACAATATATTACTAGTCAAAGAGGAAAGCGCTTAGCGACTCGGATTTCAAAGACCGGGTCACGAACCCACAACAGACCGGCCCTCGGCTTACCCGTTGAGCTGTACCCGATCATAGAGACCAGCGGGGCCACCGCTGCTTTGCTCCGGGTTCGGGTGGGTCTCTGGGTAACCAGGATCGGAACACCCCGAGTGACGTGTTGATTCGCTGTGGTGTTGGGCTAAGCTTGAATCTGAGTCACGAATCCAACCACTCCGGCTTTAGCATTTGGGTAGATATTAACTATTGACAGAATTATTCTTTCTCCCATGCTCCTATAAAGCGAACATTATCTCAACTAATGTTAATTTGTTAGCAAATTTGCATATATGCCTCTTCAAAGTAAAGCTGTATTTTCTTTTCCACTTGCTATGATCAGTCAAAATCTTTTTATTAATTTAGTGGATAAATTACTATCGGGTTAGTCATTTCAAATATTAACAATTGACAAAAATAATTTAAAAAAAAATTATTGTAGTCAGAATCATTATTTTTTAACCACTTAATATCTGTTAAGCTGGTTGATGCTGTGAAGTCACTTAGTGCTTAATCTATCTTAGATTTTACTCAGAATAAGATATTTTTAAATTTTATTGCATTAATAAGAATGTTAAAATATTTTAAGATTTTATATATTAAATATTTTTAAGTTAAAAAAAATATATTCATTTCCGATAACAATTTGATGTGAAAGTACTATCAATAATGAGAATGTAATATTCAATTAGTATTTGGGAATTACTAACTTGAGTATCGAATAAATTATATTGAGAATCTGACGTATGATATTGATCTTTATATATATAGGTTGAATACAATATAAGAGTTTAAGTATATAACAACTTATCGGTCTTCTTAATATATTGACGTAAATTGATTTGAATCAATTTAAGCATCGACATTCACATCATCAAAGTAACAAATATAAATAATCATCATTAAACTATTTTTTATAAATTATTATTTAAATAGACATCATATTTATTTAAAATATATATATATAAATAATCATAATCAATATCCAGGAGTGCTAGTAGTGCTTCATATAGATCAAGCATAATCCTTGACTTGAATAGAATAAATTTATATTATTGCTTTCAGGTAATCAATTAGTCTAATTTTTGCTAAATTAGAATTATAGCTCACAAAGTCATGCTTATTTATATTTCCTTCTACAAATACAGTGAAATTACTTTCCAATTGATCGACCCGACCCATTATAGCTCAATTATGCCATCTGAATTTGAATTTTTGGGTTCCAATTAGGTTTGAATTGGGTCAAATTGAACCCACTAGATTTATGCCATCAATTGTAATTATCAAGTCATTTTATGAGTCGTGTGAGCTCGTAGAGCAATCAAATCACATAATATTATAGAGAAAGGGATTCACATGGATACGATCGAGAACATTTCATGAACATAAGTACTCATCAATCCTTGATCCGATAGAGATAATTATCATGAACACTGAAAACAGCAGAATAATTTCAATCAAAATCTTCGTGATTGCTGACCCACCACTTCTGCATTACATATTTTATTGCATCGATGGGAACGCATGAACTTATGAAGTTCCAACTTTTTCATTTGCGTGAAACATAATTTGGCCCATCAACTTTAAGATAAAGTTAGATTCCTTATGTTCTGCAATTTAATTATGTGAAGTTAGCTACTAACTACAATGTTCACCCACTCCACCATAAATAAATTGGATGCTGTGAAGAGCTAAGCCCTTTTGTTGGAAGGTTAGCATCACGAGAAAACTCGGTGTTTGGCTTTTGCTTCGACGTGATTTGCAATGTGACAATGAGAATAGTAAAGGCTAATTATATAATAGGCATGTAATTAATTAATTAATTATCTTTAGTATAAATAAATATATTATAAGATTAATATTATATTGAGTAATAAAAATCGAAATATGAACAATAACTAATTAACTCGAATAGTATTGAGTATAGATTAACGTTTGCAAATATAGGAATGAAAATACGTGCACACATAGGAAAATTGCGATCCGAGTCGGTCTAATTTATAGTCAAACATTTGAATACTTGGTCCGAATTGGCATTCAAAACAGTAATTACGTCGGTATTCAACCGCCGAATTGGTCGGTCAGCGTATGCGGCTGGAAATATACGGAGCCAACGTGTCAATTTCGGTATGGATGACGTGGCATCGTGTGATGTGTGTGCTAAAAATTATTCGTTGGTAATGCATCCGATTCGGCGGCCGCAGACGAAATGTGAAAGGTGCGGTGTCACCGGCCTCTCATGTGCGGGCCACGTGCAGCAACCTAGGCCTTGCGTTCTTGTGGCTCCGGCCTCCGGCGCAGGTGAACCGATACGTATTTGTTATTTTTGTGCCGATCAGCGACGTACCCGATCTCCTACCTGTTTGGCGATGCTTGCGGCGACGTGGGGCCCACGAGGAGCTGCTGTCGATTCAAGTGAGCAAACACGTGGTTCTGATTTGGTGTTTGAGCCTCGTAGCTCGTGAGCGATTTGAGGCGCCACGTCACTACAACGCGCTTTTGAACCGTCCGCTTGGATGAAGAGTGTGCTCGCTTCACGAGTGATCTGTGTCTCGGTCATTGTACCATTCAGGAAACTATGGTCAAATTAACATGTATTAACAGTGGGGCCCGCCCATTCCGGCAATCAGAATACTTGTTCGCCTGTTTGGTGCGTTGTCCAAACGAAGTGGATCCTGATCGTGTTTTCATTTTCTTTATCGGGGCTGACAGGACGGAGACCTGTTCACGGGTGGATGGACTTGGAGGAAAGAGTCATACACGAACAACCGCACGAGATCCCGAAAGAATAAAAAAAGGGAAAAAGGAAGCCGTGGAGCGCTTTGCTCACCCACCGATCTCTTCCTTCCGCATGGTCCGAGCGAGTCACAGCAGCGACATACACCATCCAACGTTCACTCTCCTCTTTTTTTTTCCTCTTCTTTTCCCCTTTCTTTTTCCGCATTCTCTCTATCTTCCGTGGTGGAGGTCCGAGCGCCCGATTGACTGAGCTCGACTCCAATCGCGCACCGTTGGGAAGCTCCGACTCGATTCGCCGGAGAGAGCCCGAGCTGGAGACATGGCGCTGAATCGTGGTTACAAGCTCCGTATCCTTCTTGTCTTTCTTCCTCGAATTCGAAATATGCTTGCGCCGATCTTGTTTTCGTGTCTCGTCTTCTTTTATACTTTTTTCTTTTTGAGCTCGGGTTTTCTTTCCCCCTGTGCCTAAAGAAATCGCTCTGAACTGGAATCTGTGTCGAGGACGAAAAGTGGAGATGACTTGGAGTGTCTGCACTACTTATACGAATGCATTTGGTTGCTCTTTTGGTGTTATTGTGCCGGGATCAGCTACTATTTGCTTCATATATTCGTGTTTCGAGTTTTATGTGCTTCATTAACATTTGCGTTTGGACAAATAAGCTTGAGCTTAGATGAAAGAAGTTTGATATTAAAAGATTGACGATTTTCGTCCAAAATCTGTACTTGTAGAGAATAAATGTCTGTGCTTGGTCTTCGTGGTTGGTATTTGTTAGAAAATTTAGTTTATTCCATTTGGGTTTTCGTTGACCCTTGGGAAATAGAGGAATTCGTAGCGCATGCATCTGATGTCAACTGTGTGGCTATTGGGAAGAAATCAAGCAGAGTTTTTGTTACTGGTGGTGAAGATCGCAAAGTAAATCTATGGGCGATTGGTAAACCAACACCACTACTGGTGAGTCCTAAATTTCAGTTTTTCTTCTCCTTCCTGGTGCTCAAACTTTAGTTTTTATGTATGTAGATTTTCAAGATTTTGGTATAATGTTACTGATTTAGGGTGACATAATGGTAATTGGCAATTCAATCGACTCTTTGTGTTTGTACTAATATACACCCAAATAGTTAACTTGCTATCTGTGGACTTCTATATTAATCCTGCATGCTTCCTGTTACTGGAAGACAAGGCCACTAAAACCATAATGGCTTCATTCCTTCACCTTTCTGCTGGCTCTAGTAGTTCGCTTCAGAAGTTGATTTTTTGTTTTGTTTTGTTTTGTTTAATCATACTTTATCTGCAGAGCTTATCTGGTCATATGGGTTCTGTTGAATCTGTGGCCTTTGATTCAGCGGAAGTCTTGGTTCTTGGGGGATCATCTACTGGCATAATTAAACTTTGGGATCTGGAAGAGGCGAAGAGTAAGTGATAGTGATTCTAACCCAGTTTACTATTGTTGAAGTAAATGGTTTGAGTCTTCACTGGAGTGTGGTGGCCAAAATAGGTAACAACTTGTTTTGTTCTCACAAACTTAAAATTCTTTTATGAAGGAGAAAAATGGGAAAAGAAAAAGAAAAAACTTAACTTAGTTTAATATATAAGGCTATTGCTTTGCACCATACAAACCTTTTTCTTCCATAGCCCTTTTCTCACTATAATTCTGGCTTACCAAAATGTAGTTCCTATAAGCCTTACTTTATAAGCTTAGGTGATGTGGTGTTGACAACTTCATTAGTAGAAGTTAATTAAAGCAAGTAGGTTTAGTCATAAACTCATAATAGTAACCCACAGTTTCATAACATGCCGGCCTTTCCTTTGTCAGGCAACTAACTTCAGGTTTGCAATAATAGATCTAACACATGTAACTCCATAGTGTAATCATGCAACTAATAACATTTGCCCCATCAAATCTATAGTGTAATTATGCCATACACATTTCTCAACTTTGTGAATCTGCCAATGGAGAGCTTTTGTAGTTTTAATTGTTACCTGTTATTTTGTAATACAATTTTGCCATTTTTTTAACAGAAAACAGTATCTGGTGTCTGTATGCTTACTTGTTCAATGTCATATGTGTTCTTGCCTAGTTGAATGGAGATTTTATTACCAACACGTACAATATCGACCTTTTCTTTGCAATGGAGATTTCTGGGCCACATTCTTTCACCTCACATATAGATAAAGGTATAAAGCCAATGATTTAGATCTTGGTTTGATATTGGTATACCAGGCGGGTATACTGACATGCTGCATCTCCAACAGCAGTCAATGGTTGGACTGGTAAATACCGGTCAGTACAGTGCAACAATATCTCCTTTCTTTATATTAAAGAACATGTAGCCTAAACTAAAAGTACTCTTCCAATAAATAGCCAGAAGTTGTTCACAGAACTCAAAGAAGTCATGTCCAAAGAGTTTGAGATTACCTGGAAGTTTATTAACACAAACACATTAGTTTTAATACTCACCCAAAGGTTCATAACTCATGTTGTATAACTTGAGGTTTATAATACTTGTAAGTTATAACTACAACAATTGTTAGTCCAACACTTGAAACTGTCCTTTTACCTCATAGGATACTAAATCGTAAAGACCAACTATGATAACATAAAGATGCCTATTTAAATAGCTCATGTTAATCATGGTTTGATACTCCCCAACTATAACTGGTTAATGACATCATTGGTGCCAAGACAAGTCCTTTGTTGCGACATGTGAGCTTAACTATCTTTTAAACATTAATATCATGCTTTACTGTTTTTTTGATACATTAGTATCATGGTTTGTGAAATTTTGTTGAACAGCTTCTGATTTGGCTGTTCATGTCAAAGTGTAGTTGTTCGGACTCTTACTGGGCACAGATCCAATTGTACCTCAGTTGAATTCCATCCATTTGGTGAATTCTTTGCATCTGGTTCTTTGGATACTGATCTTAAAATATGGGATATTAGAAAGAAGGGATGCATTCATACTTACAAGGGCCATGCTGGGGGAATTCAAAAAATTAGATTTACACCAGATGGGCGTTGGGTTGTTACAGGAGGAGCAGATAACATGGTGAAGGTAATGTTGTTGGATAATTGTGCCGCATAATCATGTCTAGGTTTTCTTTTCCCCTAAATGACAGCTAACACAGTTTTATGTTAATGCTTCTTTGAACAGCTGTGGGATTTAACAGCAGGAAAGCTTCTGCATGATTTTAAGTTTCATAATGGACAAATCAGGTGTATAGACTTTCATCCTCATGAATTTTTACTTGCAACAGGTATGCTCTTATTTTCAATTTTTTGATTATTTTTCTTCATTTGCATGGTTATGTCACATAAAATTGTATCTAAACCTTGCCCTGAATCAACAATTTTTGTTCCATCCATAAGGCTATTTTAGGAACCAACTTATGATTTCTGAAGTCATGAAAGTGTAGGACCCACTTTTTTAAAAAATAATGCTTTTAATTATTCTGGACCTATGGCATCTGTACTTCAATAAATGTTGTTGCATATGTACTTTAAAATAAAAAAACCCGTCTATATGTTGGAGATCTGCATTTTATTTTCATATGAACATATGGTAGCTTTTCATAGCCCCTATGTACAGAATTTGTCTAGACAAAGACAGAAAGCAAGGTTTTGATGATGATTATATACTTTAGTCACATGTTTGAACCCAAGAGAATTAAATGAAACCTCAAACATTTAACTGTTACTGAATACTTTTCCTTCTACATAAGCCTCTGTCAGTGTTTGCGTAAAGTCTAATTCACTATTCTTGAAATATAAAACTAATTAGATGTGATATTTTCTCTTGAAGTGCGAGTTCACTAACGTATTAAACTAATGATATGTGATAATTTTCTAATTTTCTCTCAAATTGAAACTTGCTACAGTGATTCTGAATGATGGAACGTTCCAATTTACATGCCTTTCTAATTGTGATTGCTACAGCCCTACATTTTTAAGACCAAACAACCTGTAGGCTTCAGATTTAGGCATGATTTTGTTGATTCTCTGTGGTTGATTTGACTTTTTCTATTAAATATATTGTACTAAGATGATATCTTTCTGCTCATCTTATGCATTAGTATCTTAGCTCCTAGTCATGGTAGTTCTTCGTATATGTAATATGTAGTTCTATGCTCTGTACTATTGTTTCTCTTGATGGGCTGATATGAAACAATTCCAGGCTCAGCTGATCGAACTGTGAAATTCTGGGATCTTGAAACATTTGAACTGATAGGTTCTGTGGGGCCTGAGGTATGTTAAGTGTTTTCTCTTTGAACATCAAATATAAGTTCTTACATCTATGCTTGCATTTTCTGTTTATCCTTAATCTAAGAGTTAATCATCTTAACCATTAGAATTGCACCAGATGTTATCATATAATTTTTAGTTTATCATTTTCATCATTCGGTGTTATTCTGAAATGGTTTTATCAGTTGAATGGTACTTGTCATTTTATATGCTGCCATTATCTGTTAACTGCCCTCCCTATGTAGTGTTAACCTACCCTAGAAAAGAGAAATCTCCAGAGATTAAATTTCTGACACCATCTTCTATTACTCAGCATCATCAGTACATTTGTCACTGATATACAACTTCCCATGCCTATTAACATCATGCTGCCTAAGTCCTTGATTAAGAGTAGACTGGTGTGGAAGAGCATTTCAGGATAGCCCAAATACCATTTTGTATACTCTTAATGTGTTGGTGGCTTGCAACAATTAATTTGTTCACCAAGTATATAATGTAGATTGTAGGGCAATGTAGGTGCTAGAGCTGAAGAATGTGAGGTTTTGGCTTTGGTTTGCTTGTAGTGAAAACCAACTGATGCAATAGAAAAAATATTATGGAGATCAAATTAATCTTATCTAGTGAAATTATATTTCAATTGTAGGAAAACAATTTGACATATGAAAAGCACAAGTTAATAGTAAAATATTATTTCAAGTACGCCAAAGAGAGAGAGAAAAAAGAGAAATCTTCTATTGCAATCTATCATCTACTTTTCCTAGTGGGTTGTTAACTTTGTTATATAGATTTTGTTCCATGTTGCTGTCTAAGGAGTGCTTGTTATTCTCAATTCTGGAAACTTAATCATTGATGATAAAAAAGAAGTCTTGGGTAGTAAAAGAGAAACAATGCTGCATAGCAAAGACTTAAAGTGCACTAAGAGAGATAACTCTTGAAGGATGGAATGGGATAATGAGAGCCAACAGGACTAGTGGCCAAAGATCTAGACAATAGAGTATGGAAGGAAATGGTTTGACAACACACACAATTTATGAGGAAGTAGAATAATTAGCCACACTCTTCACACAAGTCAAACAAGAAACTCTTACCTCTTTATCTCTTGTTATATTAAACTTGACTAAAGGATGAAAGTGAAAGAAATAAAGAAGCGTAACTAAGAGGAATAAGAGTCTCTTATCAGTGAAAAATCACCCAGTTATATTAAGCTGTCTACAATCTTTTTAATGTATGAGAGAAACCATCAAAGTGTTCTACTTTTTATTAGCTGTGAGGTAAATTGGAATCATTCAAAATGACTAAATGAGTCCATTGGAAGTGATCTATTTCTTTTCATCAAGTCAGATTGAAGACCAAAGATCATGACTGACTAATCCAGCATAGTAACACATAAGACAAAAATGTGCCTAATTTTGTCATTCTCATTCCAAGAAGTAAGGTTGTTAATATTGTGGTTTACTATGCAATATGGGTTGTGGCTTGAGCGTGGATTTTGTTGCAAATGAGATCTGCTTGGCATCAGGCCCTTGTACCACACACTACTTGAAACCTCTGGCCACTTTAGGAAGGACATGATTGAATTGGTTTTCCAAAATGTCCCTTGGTTTGAGGAAGAAGATGAATGAGGAGAGGGAGAATGTATGCCCCTTGGCACATTTTTCATATATTGGATGTTCCAAGTGTGAAGTAACTCCAATATTTTCTTAATAGTTAATTTGCATAGATTTTTTTCATATAGAATGTCTCAGCCTTCTATGTTTTACTTGAATACTTATACATATCACACGAATGAGATTCAGATATAAATATGTCATCAAGAATCTCAAATTACTTAATATGGATGTCTATAATGGAACTATTTTTTAAATCTCTACATTATGTGATTCTTCTTCTTTTCTCAGGCTACTGGGGTGTGCTCGATGATCTTTCACCCTGATGGAAAAACCCTATTTTGTGGGTTGGAAGCAACCTTGAAAGTAAATTCTTTTATAAATTATAATAGTGCTTGATATCTGACAGAAAAGTTGCCATTGCTCATTTATCTAAGTATAATTACTAGGTATTCTCTTGGGAGCCCTTAATATGTCATGATGTTGTTGATATGGGGTGGTCGACTTTGGGTGATCTCAGTATATATGAAGGGAAACTCTTGGGATGCTCCTACTATGAAAGCCGTGTTGGAGTTTGGGTGGCAGATATATCGGTAACTACCTAACTTGATTTCCACATTTGTGTGATAGTCTATTGTATATTAGTCTACTAAGTAGATTGCCTATGTGTCTCAGCTCATTGCTCCCTATGCTCTTGGTGTGGTGCCAAAAGCAAGTGGCCTTGTAGAGCCTACTTTTCAGGTAGAGAACTTTTCCCTGGAACTGAAAGAGAGCAGTGGTGTATCTAATATAAAACCTACCACTGAGTATCATGATATTGGAATTAAAACCAAGGAGACAGAAGGAGGCACATGCTTGATTTGTAAGTGTAACTTCTTTCTTGTACAATTTCTATCACTTTGACCTTCAGTTTCGGAAGAACTTTCAATCATGAGATTGTAATTTTCCATCCTTTTTTGGATTATGCTATATGAAACACAGCTGACGACTGTAGACAAAGTATCAGTCATGGAACTAATTCATGTAACACATCAACTGTAGCACCAATTACCCTGAGTGGAGTTACAAGGAACAAAAGCTCTGATAGCTGCATCACTGTACCACAAAGATTTCGTTCCAGGATGTCTTCGAAAGCATCCACCCCTAGTTCTACCACATCTGGTTCTGTAAAAGCTATTCAAGGTTCTCTTAATCCTTCAAACAAAACTGAACGAAGTTTGCCATCAAGGAACACTGCATTGAGTTCAAATACCACAAAAGCAATTAGTTTGGTAACTTCAAAGAAGGCTTCGACGGTACAGAGTAGTGTGGGAACACATACACGTCTGTACATGCCTGTTATTGTACCTAGAGACAACCTGGGCCAGGACAGTTTCAGAGTGGTAACAGCTGCTTCTGAAGCAATTTCTCGTGGTTCAAGGTCCAACAAAATAACTCATAAACGTAAATCATCATTTGCTTCTGGTGATAGCAAGGACCAACTGATTGAGAATGCATCTATGGATTTGACTGATAGAAGAAGTGATTCAGATGTTAATTCAAATTTGTTCCCCATTCTCGCTGCAAGTCATGAAGCTGCAGAAGATGATGTCAGAGAACACACTATGACAAGAAACATTGCAGAAAAGTTTGAAAGAGTATTGTCAATAGAGCAGCCTGTACAATCACAGAATGACAATGGTATATCTATCTTTGGCTAATTAATAAGGATGATAAGTCTTTCCTTTCTGGTTTTCCCTATTTATCTTTTCTTATTATATGCTGATATTATATGATTTTAGTTTTGTTTATAATGGCCCAAACAAGATCAACTTGGGGTTGCAAGGGTTGCATATTGGTCATTTTGATTTGGCTATAGTATGTACCTACTGGTTTGGACTTTTATTAGAAACTATACAAGTCAAACTCAAAGCGGTTCAGTTTAGAACTTTTGATCTGTTACAAATTTATCCTGAATTGGACATGAAACATAAATAGACTTAGTTAAAAGTAAATTCCATTTGCCATTTGTGTATTACATACATACATATGTACATACATATTATATCTATGGTTTGCAATACCGCTTGGTACAGTTTGGCATGGGCGGTTTTCCCCGGTCTACTGACATACAGACTAGGGGATACATGGTATGCCCAGTACAAGGTGCCCAATATTAACTGGTACAAGCTGTTCACATTAAAGTATGCAAAAAAAAAAATAATTGAGTTAAGCGTATTTGCTGCACCAGTATACATATTATGGAATTAAGCATATAACTGAATTAAGTGTATATATGCTGTTCAGATTGAAGTATACAGAGAATATATAATTGAATTAATATGTAGAACTGTGGCCAAAGCAAGTATTTGTGAGATGGCATTTTTTACTCATTTAAGAAACAATTTAAATAATGTTATAGGAAGCAGGAAAATGTCTAGTGATTAATCTTAAATTATTAGGAACAATTTATTATAGCACTCAAATAATTGTAGTAACTTTAATCAAAGTGAAATATAAACCAGATTATGTCTTTGTACTTATGTAGACTGCACATGTGGTTGCATCTCTTGCATATACAGTACTAATACATCATTGACCCTTAACCTTATGTGAGGTAGTCACAAGGTTCTTAATTTTGGTTCGTACCGGTGTACCAAGCCCTACTCAATATGGTATATATCGAGATGTACCGACGATATGCCAGGGCATACCGATGGTACATCCAAAAGAGCTTAAAAACCTCTAAAAATATCTAGAGGTAACGATCCAAAAAAACAGGGGCGTATCAACTGGTACACCTCAATAATGATCGAAATCTGAGGCGTACCAACCGGTACACCCCGATAATGGTCAAAATCCGGGGCGTACCGACCGATACGCCTAGTATGCCCTGTATGCCTTAGTAACGATCAGATTTCGACCATTACCGCCTGGTACAGATCCCGTATCACCCGATACGGGGTCAAAAACTGGTATTGCCCAGTAGAGGGTGGTCCGCGTACCGGTATCCTCTCGGATTGATATGTACCGCCTGTACCGGGTGGTACACATTGAAATTGAGAACCCTGGGTAGTCATTCTGATTGCATCTACATGTGCAACTGCATATACCATATTTTCATTTTAGAAAGTTAAGGTAACATTATTGATCACTTGTAGGTGTTGTTCATCAATACAAAGTTTTTGTATTTAGATATAGTTGTCTAATTATATTGATTGATGAATTTTATCTGCCTTGAAGTTACTATTGTGATAATATGCCTCCAAATAATTAAAGAAAAGACTGCAGAAGCTTAGCATAAATACCATCACCCAGTTACCATTATGTTCCTTCTGTGTCTCCATAGTTGCTGGTTAGATTGTTGTACAATGGTCTATACTAGTTGTTTGTGTTGTAACACCATGTTACGTTGTGTGGTCTCCTTTGTGCTTATATTAACTATGGCGAGTGTATATTTTTTCGCTTACACCGACATGTATTATAATGAGAAAATTCTAAGACTTGCTATTACAAAATTTGCATTGAGAGATTTTGCTGGAAAAGTCTTGTTTGCAAATGTGTCATTTATTGCTTTGTTTTTTGTAAAAGTGTCTCTATCCCATCTTCTTTAATTGCTTTTCATAGATGACAATGATATTTTCTCTGCAGGTAATGAGTCGCCATGCTCAAGCAGTGAAACTAACTCAGTGAAATATGTTAAAGGAGGTAACAAGTGTGGAACAATCTTCATATCTCAAATATAATCTGAGGATTACTGAGATTGCTCGGCAAATTTGATCATCTTTATGTTCATTTTGGCAGTTGCTGTCCAACTTGGAAAGACGCGGACTCTAGTTGAACGCTGGGAAAGAAGAGAAAGATGTGGCAGCAACATGGCAATAGTTAGTTTTTCTTCTTGCTTTTTATGGCTTACAATATGTAGTCCATGCTGTAATGTTTTCATATTGCACTTTGTTTTGTTATTTGCTTGATATAGCAACTGGCACATACTGTTGTCATATATTCTGGATCTCATATAATCTGTTATCTTCCTGTGTAGAGACATACCTTATCAAACTGATTATCTACATTAGAGATTGCTCAATTTTTGAGGTGCATGTCAGTCGTTCTCTTAAGAGAATTTTCTTTGCTTCCTTCATGTTAACCATGTGGACTTTACAAATTTATATGGAAGAAAATATTAGTCTAAAGCCTGTTCATTATGGCTGTTCGTTAAGGTTTCAAGAATTGCCCATAACCCTATTATGGCTGTTCGTTAGCATAATAAATAGCCGTGCCAGCATGTGGGTCCTTGTGGCAATCCTGAACCACCTTCCAAGTTCCAACCACCACCAATTTATAAAAAAAAAAAAACAATGGAAATAGGTTGGCACTCCTCTTCTCCAGCCTCCAATCCAGTGTAAAGTGATGGCAGCAGTGGAGCCGAGTCAGCTGACATGAGGAGTCTCCTGAGCCCTCACTCAACACAAAACATTGTGCTCTCAGATCTGTTAAAGAGAACTTGGACAAAACCTGTCTGATTTGGTACGAAAGGCTAGTTTGATCTTGCTGGCTGCTTCCCAAATACAAGATCCTTGATTTAGGTCTTTTTAAGCCATAAGAATTATCAAACATGAAAAACAATGAAATTTAACTACATGTATCCAACAATTTCTTGGTCTTTTAGATAAAAGGTTTCCCATCGTGTAGCATTGATGCCACACTTTTTGTTGATCTCAGGTCTATCTTGTCCTTGCAAATTCATGCAAAATGCTCTTTGGTTTTCCTCTCTCCTTTGTTGCTAACTTAACTCACTACAAATTTGAGCTGTACTGTTTGAAAGTTAACCTAACCTAAAATGTGTTATACATGACAGGCTTGGGCTTTGTTTTTATGCTAGGTATTCATGATTATTCTGGATTAAATGCGACATATGTGAAATGGATTTATACCACCCCCAGGCTTGGGCTTGTTTTTGTGCTACATATTCATTAATATTCTGGACTACAGGCAACACATGTGCAATTGACTTATACCATTCAGTAAGGATTCCTAGTTTTCTTGATTTTCTTTACTTTTCTGGATGTATATGAAAATTTTTCTCAGAACCTCCAGTTTAGTCATGGTTTAAGTCCCAGTGGATCACAGAGTCAATCCTGATAATTATAATCTTTTTGTTTTCTGATTCTATGGAGAGCATAGTCATTTATGTGGAGATATACAAACCCGAACATGTATGTTTTGGTTGAGCAATGACATGTCACATTCCAATGTATTGATAACTATTGTTGAAAAAACAAGTGTTTCATCTCAGAAGCTTGAGCACTTCACCTGGTTGTGCTGGACTGCCTCTTGAGTTTATTTGACAACATTTACTTACTCTTTCCATGCTGTTTTGTGATGAACAGAAACAATCAGAGGCGACCTCTGAAAGGGACTTGACAACATCAGAGGATGATTTGATTCCCGAAACACTAATTCAAAACCATGATGCATTCATAAATTCTTTGAAATCTCGCCTGACTAAATTACAGGTAATAACCATTCCCCTTAAAATGATCATATAATTTTCAAGACTGTTGGCTGTTGTAAATTCATTGTTCATTGACATTCATGTTGTGAAAGCTTATTTCATCATCCAAAAGGAATGTAGTCTTCTCTTTTCTGTGTATTCTTTTTCTGGCCTTGATGTAAACTGTAATGTTAATAAAAAAATCAAAATGCTGCATCATTTTGTTATCAATTTTGGTATCTGCAGATAATCTCTTCAATTTACATGGTTCAAACAAATCTATTATTGGTGCACTGGAACTTGTTCAAAGCTGGAATCTAGTCTTTACATGTCCATGTCTATTGTTTTTGCAAAGTATCACAATTCAAACATTATATTTTTTTGTCAGTCCTTCCTTCAGTTATCAACTTATCATATTTCTATTACAATTATTAACATCATCCCAGTCTTTTCCCATTGATATTGGGATTAGCTATATCAGCTGTAGAGCAATACTTGATGGAGAAACTACATGAATGGTTTTGTCTAAAAAATCAGCACATGTTTAACTTATTAACCGAAGAGGTTCCATTTCAACATGGGTGATCAGGGTTTGAGTTAAGGAAATAGTCTATCCAGACCCCACATTGGCATGTGTCATGTGCATTGATTGTCTTTTTATATTTTTAATTGAAGAAATTATACTCTAAATTTTTTTGGGCATCAGTGAGAAGGCACAGAAAATAAGTTTTCTTTTTCCAAATATGAGAAATCAAATACTTCTAGGGTTACATAGCTTCTTTTTTCCTTGTTTAGTTGCTTAAAAACAAGGTTTTCTAGTTAATTTTTAAAGCATAAGCTAGTAGGAAAGAGCCTAACTTTATACATGAACTCTCTTAGGTGCAAATTGGATGAATGAGTCTGGCTTTGATACATGGATCTAAATGTAAGATAAAGGCACAAACCAATGACTAACAGCTTGCCCAAAGTTTGTGTGGGGGAAACACTGGATAGAGATTAAATGATAAGAGGTAAATCTAAAAGGGATAATTTTTAAACTTATGATCTGCTCAGATATCTTCACAAGGTAACCAATTTTCTTAAAAGCTTAGACAAGTAAGAAAAGGCCTCATGATAAGTTCGTCAAAAGCATGAAGTACTTTGGGGAAACAAAATTTATTGATATTTCCTTCTGTGACTAATAAATCAAAAGTAAGAGATTTGCCACCTTTTGTTAGAGAAGTGTGGAACTCAATCAAGATTTTGAATTATACTATGGCTGTCATTGGAACTGGGGTATGATTATAATTGCACCATCTTCATTCTGAGATTTGAAATAGAAAAGTATATGTAGCTTCTCTTTGGCTTCTCTCTTGTCTACATGATTAAGTCTGATCAAGTTTGATCCACTATGTCTCTTTCTTCTTTTGCTTTATATACATCTAAGAGTAGTAAACCATTATGTTGGTCAGGAGACTTTAAATAATGCCCTTCTAGGTTAGAAACCCAACATAAGAGTTGACCATTATTCTTTTCTTTTCAGAAAGCCTGTGTGTGTGTGTGTGTAATTTTTTTGCTTTGTTCGCTCTTTCAGAAACTAATTATGACATGAGGATTCTACAGAAAAGTGCAATGCCCTTGTTACGATGTGCCTATACTAATGTGGAATGCTATTGATTGTTTCTTTGCTGAGACACACTTTAAATGATTTGATTATTTTATTGACAAATGACGAGAATACTTGGTATATGTCAATTTCAAGCACTGCTATTTGCAGCAGCCTACTTAAATTACTTGGACTTGCAGATGGTGCGGCATTTTTGGGAACAAAATGGCATTAAAGGCGCAATTAGTTCTGTGGCAAAGTTGCCTGACTATTCTGTAGGTATTCCTTTCAGGCCATTTATTTGTTGGCCACTAAGGTCATATCTAGTCATCTTGGCTGGAAAACTTCTGTATTCCCTTTTACATCTGTCTTTTATCAATAGACATCTATCTGAGTGCAAGTGCAGGTTCAGGTTGATGTCATCAGCATTCTCAAGGACAAAATTGGACTTTTTACCCTTGATCTGTTTTCGACCTTGTTGCCAGTTCTTGTTGGTTTACTAAACAGCAAGATTGAGAGGTATAAATACATTTGCATTGGGTACATGCTTATGATTGGAAATATATGCACATGGTCTTACTAAGGGAGGAATGATGGTTTTTTCTTGTAATTTATTCTCAGACAGACTGTTGTTTCTCTGAGTCTGCTGTTGGAGCTTGTTAAGATCTTTAAACCAGTTATAAGTTCAACAATATCTGCATCTTCAACAGTGGGAGTTGATCTTCAGGCTGAACAAAGGTAAGTTTTGTTAGATTTATTGGTCCTTGTCGAGTTTAAGATGGTCGTTTCTTGTTGTATCCATAATGTACGATCTTATGGCTAAAGCAGGCTGGAGCATTGCACCCACTGTTTCAACAATCTGGAAAAGATAAAACAAGTTCTTCCTCCACTAATTAGGTATGGAGCTCCTTTAATTATAAGTAGAAAAATTTTTATAACAGTATGGGGCCATGGACACAAGTGTCCCAGTAGTTATAACTTTTGGTGGACTGTTGAATCGTGAAATTATAAACATGATTCAGCTTTTGGTCTTTTGCAATTCAATCTGTAATGCCATAGTTAATAATCATGTGGACTTGAGCCAACTTAAATTACTTAGTTACATTGTGATGTTTTTCTTAGTATAGTAGGATGTTGCTCTCTTATACCAGTTCCAAACCATGAACTGTTGGATCGGGACACTGGGTCCATATGCAACTAGAGTTCTTATTCTCATCTTATCAGAATAGGATCCCTGTTGGTATGGGGCTCTCTCATACTATTATATTGGTCAGGGAAGGAGCATATCTAAGAAGAAACTTTGGGGGCATTCTCTTCTTAGTGTTTCTCTTAAATCTAATTCTTGCTAGTCTGCCTCTGTAGAGGAGTGCTGAGTTGGCGTAGACTGTTTATCCTCCTGTGTAAATTACCTTTGGAATGAGAGGAAGATGTTAGATGAGGACACCCCTCTAGGGTTAAGTATTTCTCCAACTAGGATTTGTATTCTTATCAGGATGGGACTTTTGTTGGGGTAGGAGGAAGCTGTGAGATCCTCTTAGTTTTATCTCTGTTCCCAATCTTTCTGCTCTGTTGACCATGTATAGTGCATTAATGTGCAAAGCATATGTTTATCCTTGTGTGTTGATCATGGACATATGTTGGTGTATTTTGGCTTTTGGATGAAAGATGTCGATCACCTCCACATATCTATATCCTAGAGTCCTTGAAATTGTTGAGAAATTCGTGCTTTGTGCTGTGCCTTTTCCCGACATTGAAAGCTGATCATCAGTGACATCCAACACGAACTAGGGTGATCATGCTTGAAGCTAATTTCATACTAATTTGGTAGATGTCCTCAGTCAGCCGGTGAGTGCGGTGCTGGGACACAATTAGGTCCGAGCCTGATGTGGAAGTAGGTTGACCCAGCACAAGGTTCCAAGGAGCCGAACTAGAGCTAAACCACCAAAGTAGTACCAAAGAGCTTATGTGGAGCTCCTGAAGTGCAAGTAGGTTGACCCAGCCCGAGGTTCCAAGGAGCCGAACTAGAGCTAATTCACCAAAGTAGTACCGAAGTGCTTATGTGGAGCCCCCGACCACTTGAAGCGATGCTTCAAGATCTCCAAAGATGAAGCCAAAGTGGAGCTCCCAATTTGCCGAGGTCCTTGAGCTCCCGATGTGCCTATAGTAGAAGACATGCTCTTGATGTGCTCTCGACTCAGTCCATCCGATGCCTATGTCAGCGGGGAGTCCGAAGTGCAGCAGTATCAAAGTTCAGGTTTAGGAGAGAGGAAACAACTTGCTATTTATAGTCCAAGTTCCCTAATATCTTGTGGTTAGAGAAATATTATTCGAATCAAGGATGGTTTGAAGAATATTTCCATTCGAAATGACTGCTGACATGGCCAATTCGGCCTAATGGATTTTGTCATTTGTGCCATGCTAGTGTCCACGTGTCAAGTTGGAAAAGGACGAGATTACTTTAAGCTGCCTCATAAATTATGCCATGTGCTCAAGAATCTATTTTTTCTATTTAAATTCATTGGAACACAATGACTGAGAGTGGTTTGAAAGCCAGGAAACTAGCTTAGTTTAAGTCTATTCACTATGTGATATGTGTTGGAGTAGCTTGTTCTTTTTTAACTTTGAATGGATGCTTCAATGAGTTGAAAAGGATAGTAAACTTCCATTTGTTAAATGCCATGATTGCTTAAATATAACAACCGGTTTTACCAACCCAGTGATTCGTGCTGATTCAAATTGACAGTTGTGGTTCAAAGCCCAAGTATGAGGACATTTAGAAATTGGGTGGGTTAATACTTAGCTATATTCTGTTTTGTTCATCTTTTCTTCATTGGTATGCAGTTCCCCTGCTGGTGCCATTCTTGATCCACCAGTATGTTTGGTGTTGCTCTATTCTAAAAAGTTCATATTAATGATGCTTGAAATAACTGTTATATATTTCATGTCTTTGTCCATCAGTAGCTTTATATAACTTTGAGAAGATATCTCATTAATTTAAAATATCATGAGTCAAATTGGTTAAAATTTTCAAGCACTCATCTGACCGTAATATCATTTTCACCATTAAATATGGAAGTATTTTTTTCTTTGACATTGTTATGTGTTCCTGGTGCAGGAGAGGAGGGCTGCTAGCAAAACATGCCGGTGAATTGAACATAATTTTACGTGACTCATGATCAATAGCTTTTTTCTCCCTTTAAAGCTCCTCTATACCTTCTTATAAGTAATTATCGGGATCCGTATCTTCAGCAACTTTGGTATGGAATGCCGCCACAAGATTTGCCTCCATTTGGCTTTCCTTGATGGATGCTTCGAGTTGACAATGGGAGAGGGTGCAGGATTACTATATTGAAGTCTAGCCCATTGTATAATTTGTTTGTTGTTCTAATGCCTTATTCTTGGTGCCCGCCTCTTTTCTGATGAGTGGCATGCTTTGATGTATAAATGTTCTTATGTACATGATATGCCCTGCAGATTTAGTTAAATTGGATGATACCGTCTTTTATACTGGAAATTCTTCCTCGTATCGAATGCAAACAACAGATGCTTATTGAAAATCCTTGTTCACTACCTGGGCGAGAAAGATTTATGTTGTGTTGATTGGAAATATATTGACAGATATGCGCTCATGGCTAATGCATTCTTTGTATGGTGATCCAAGATTTGTTTGTGATCACTTGCCAACTGCTGGTTTGTTCATAAAGAAACACAAATATGTAATTAATTGTATCCTGTAAACATGTTTCGGTGCTCGAATACAATTTCTTGGTAATTTCGATACTGATGTTGGTTCTTGGTTCTTTCAATTTCTTGGTTATTTCCATTCTTTGTTTGGTGATCCAAGATATGTTTCCGATCACTTGCCAACTCCTGGTTTGTTCATAAAGAAACACAACGGCGTAATTACTCATATCCTGTAAACATGTTTTGATGCTTGAATACAATTTCTTGGTAATTTCCATACTGATGTTGGTACATATTGGCTCTTTCAATTTTAGTGTTGAATAAAATAGCAGGTGCTTATTTTAAAAGAAAGATTTATAGTGTTGCTTAGAAATATATAAACAGATGTATGTGTTCATGTCTCATCCATTATTTGTTTGGTGGTTTTAGATTTTGTGTGAAATCACTTTTTGTTAGGGATAAATGTTGTTGATGTATGTAGCAGCGTGATGTGGCATTGATTCATGTGTGAGGAGTAATTCGAGGTAAAGCAGGGTTTCTCCAACCTTATCTCTGCACAAAGATTGAGGTCGAGAGAAGTTTTTCGAATTAATCCCTTCGATGTTTAAGTTAGTATCTGGAGGCAAAGATGTATTTTTATACTAACCTCAAAAGGGCGAGAGAATGTCTTATGAAGATGAGAGGGCAGTTCGTAATCGTTTCGAATTGCCTTTTGATCTTTCTAGAATGTTCATGTGAATATTTTATTGGGGACTAGTTCGTATTCGACCCGAAGTGCCTTCTGGTCTTCTATGAATATTGCTATGAATATTTTGTAGGAGAGCCATTTTATAACCGACTTGAATTGCTTTCTAGTCTTCAGAAATATTCTCACGCTTATGAAGATCTCATAGAGGGGGCAGTTCTTAATCGTCCCGAACTATCTTTTGATCTTCCTAAAATATTCCTGTAAATATCTCACATGGGAGTCGATTCATAATCGACCTGAGTTGTCTTCTGAACTTCTAGAATATTTCCACAAATATTTTGCTAAGGAGGCGACCCAATAACTTGGTAGCTCGACAACTTAGTAACTGACTCGACCTACCTTTTGAGCTTTGATCTTTATGGACAAGAGGGTGTTGGCCTGGCATGACATTGATGGCTAGTTGATTTTATATTTTCTATCATTTGTCCTTCCTCGTCGAAGGTGTGTTTCGAAGTTTTTAGGGTTTGGAGTACGTCTTATTGGTCTTTACGTCCTTTGAGCGTTTTTTACCTTGCACTTCTGTAGCAAATTTTATCGAGTGTGGGTCGAGTTTTCGTACCTCATACGCTTCAAGTACTTTTCTTAGTTTGATTTTTCGTTGTAGCATATTTCTTCTTACGCAGGTCGAGTTTGCCTGACTCATGCATCTTGGGCACCTTTCTAACTCAATTTTTTGTTATAGCAGATTTCTTCTTACGCGGGTTGGAACAATTATGAATCGGATCCCCTAGAAAATATTTGTAGAATATTCCAGGAAGATCAAAAGGTAGTTCGGGATGGTTACGAATTGCCCCCTCTATAGGGTCTTTATAATCGTGGGAATATTTCGGAAGATTAGATGACATTTCAAGTCGATTCTGAATCAGCTCCTGTACGAAATATTCGTAGGAATATTCCTAGAAGACCAGAAGGTAGTTCGGGTCGATTACAAACTAGTCCCCTATGGAATATTTGTAGGAACATTCCAGGAAGATCAAAAGGCAGTTCGAGAACGATTACAAACTGCTCTCTCTATAAGGTTTTCATAAGATATTCTCTCCTCCTTTGAAGTTAGTATAAAAATACTTCTTTGCCTTTAGAATGGGAGAGAGATAAAAGAGTTATGTGCAACCAAATACTAACTTAAACGTTAGAAGGATCGGTTCAGAAAACCCCTCCCAACCTCAATCTTTGTGTAGGGACGAGATCGAAGAAACGTTGCCTTACCCCAAACGACTCCTCGCACACGGATCAGGGCCTTGCCATACTGATACAAAAATCAATGACGTTTATCTCTAACACTTGCCAATTGTAGGTTTGTTCATAAAGAAACACAATAATGTAATTATTTGGTATCCTCAAAACATGTTTCGATGCTTGAATGTAAAATACTTAGTAATTTTCACAATATTGATGGTGGTTGTAAATTATTGTTGTTATTATTCTTTAGTGGTTTTATGCTGTGTTAGATTAAAATTGCACATATTGTGTAAAATACTTGATGTACGTTCTAACATTAATTTGAGTGTTATCATTTTGAATTAGTGATTCAGTAAATTATCCGATTGGATCGATAGGGTTAAACTTTATATGCATTTTGTAATAGTCTCTATCGAATCCAACATTTTAGTTTTACATCGGAAATGTAAGAAGATTCAAATGGTCAATTCAGAAGCTGATGGGTGTAAGAAGCATGGTATACCATACCGAATGGTACCGCCCGATATGGACGGTACATACCGGTCCGACGGCATACCGGTACGCGGACCGTCCAGTACCGCATGGAACATGCTACAGTGCTATAGTGTCATACTGTAGCAATGCTACAATGTTAGAAAGAAAATATATAAAACTATTTGGTACACCCTGATGTACCGCTCGATATACCTTGGTGTACCGCTCGATACGCCGATACCATACCGTACCGAACCAACCTCGAAATATTGGTACGATACGGTATTGCATACCTCGATAAGAAGTGTTGTTAATTTGGATATAAACATCTTATAGGGCTTCACTCTAACTTGTGAATCTCATTCAAAGTCAACCATGGCTATAAAGCCCGATCAAAGTGTCAGCGTTGACCAACTTTTCGGTCGGGGCAACATGAAGCCACTATGCTGAAAATTCATAATCTGACTCTAATTTCTCCTCTCTTAGGGCTACCAGAAAAGCTTTTTTGAATTCACACCAAAGATTTCCCATTTGTTTCCTACATCCAAGTAAAAATCGTAATTCTTAATCTAATCAGGACTGTAATAGCCACTATGCATGTGTTTTCACTGGCTATTCTGTGCTAGTCATAAGAGTTTGACAACCAATAGAACAATCTTGCAAAGGCACATAATCTGTTTCTAGGTAAAAAAGAAGAAGTAATTTTAATCTTCTTTTTCCAACTGGATGACTTTTTTCATACAGTGAAAAAAGTGATTTAGAGGCCAAGAAACACTGAGCTCAACAATCTTAGTAAATAAAATAACATTTTCCTCTACAACTATTTAACCCTGAAGCAGTACCAAAAATGACAACACAAAGATATTGGCTCATATTTGAGACATAGGCTCATGCAAGTTATAAATGACAAGCCTAACAGAGAGCACATATGATGAGGAGCAAAGATCCTTTGAGAAAAATGTAATGGAAAGACGATAATATTAGATGCATTTTGCAGTTCTCCAAATGATTTTGGCTACCCATGGCTTTCCCCATTTCATCTATCAGCAATGTTTTCTAAAGAAGAATAGGGAGAAGAAAAGGCCAATGGTGAGATTGGCAAAACATCTCTCAGCATCACCTGAAGGCTGAGAGAATGCAGTCGCCAAAAGTAAGAAAAAACTGAACCATGTGACTGAGGACTCAATTTTGCATGACAATAATTGAACCAAGAATGTCTCCTGATGGTGCCTTGATAGCACTAGTCGTGGTGATCGTTGCAGGGTAAATGATACTCCGTCGAATGAAGCTAGCTTTTTGAATTGTGAGTGAAATCAATGCAGGTCTGACAGCTGCAATCGGAGAAACGGCAAGTCTCGCATCCAAAACAGACGCATGTTGTACACCCTCTGCAGGACGGAGAACGTGAGCATCCCCTCAAGGCTTTACGACTTGCTCGCTCCTCTTCATCATCGCAGGTGACTCTGATATGTGGGATAAAATATATAATATGGTGTCAAAAATTATAGATTATGAAAGCTGAGGAACCTAAACAAAGGTCAATAAGATCATAAACAAAAACATGTACTAGTACTGCTATCATATCACAAAAAGACAACCGTGTTTTTCCTAATAATATCATTTAGTTGGGATTCAAATCAGATATTTCAGAATTTTTTGAATATAGCAATTTATTAGCACATTTTTTGTGCTGAAAACCGACAAGTATCATACATTCTTTCTGCCAGTATCAGTGCTCATTTACACACACTAGGAAAAAAGACACTCAAGACCAGGTGCCCCAGAAGTCCACCGAAGAATTCGTCAGTCCAAGTACCTAATAAAGCATGGCACAGTGAAAAGCTTCTATAATCTTAAGCTATTATTGCCTTACTAGCATGCACTTACATGCAATATTACATTAGAAGGAGAATCAAATACTGAATTGGACTATTAAGTTCCAATCATTATTTATTGGTCCAACCAAGGATTAGTAATAAACCATTGCAATGTATGAGAATGTCATCTTTTGAGTTCTTTGAGGGACAATTTTTTTCATTTATTGAGCATCTCATTGGTAGTCAACATCAAAATAGCAAGGCCCACGAACCAATCCAAGCTCCACAGATTAGTACTTCTGCAGATCTAAACAAGAGAATGACCAAGGATTTACTTTCCGTGGCATGCATCTACATGTTAGTTGGCACCTGACAGCAATGTTCACCGTATCGAAGCATACCGCTCGGTATGGGCGGTACATACCGATCCGACAGGAAATCGGTATAAGCGGTACATCGATATGCCCCATTGTACCATGTGTCGGTACACTCGGTATGACTCAATACATACCATACCGACAACTAGTCAATACACCGGTACAGACTGATAAGGCAAACCATGCCTGACAGAACACTTGCCATCTGATGCCATGCTGACAAGTTTGACATGAGCATGCTAGTAGCAAAAAGAGGTCAAATAAAAAAATAGAGACAAACAGGAAACAAATAAAGAAGGGGCTTACATATTGCTTGTTGCTGGCCATGGAATCAATGGTGATACATGAAAATGCTTTAGTCATCATTTGGTCCTTTAGGAAATCGTTTCTTTTTTCAAACTGTACATTGGTTATCAAATAAAAGGTAGCAGAACAACATGAAAAGTAGGAACTGCTTGTGGCAGTCCGAACACCAAAAGACTAGGCAAGAAAGCAAAATACCTTTTGGTTTCTGTTGCAAAAATTCATAGAATAAATGGTTAGTTTAATAGGTATAAGTCAAGTCCTTGATAATATCATGTTCAATGTTAAAAAGTTATAACTGTTATCCAAATCTGACAAAAAAGAAAAATCGATATCTAGTTTGAACTTTGAAGCAATTTAAGAATCATAATTATTGTTAAGTAAATTGTGATAACATATGACCCCTTCTTATCTAGGTTTTCTCCAATTTGATATGGAAAAAATGTCTTCCAAGGTAGAACAAGAGAGACAATAGATGCTGATTATTTAACTAAGCCAAATTTACTACATGATGAATAAAATTAGTATCGACCCTTGAGCATGTATCAAGGACTTTATCGTGATACCCAACTATAAGATACATTACCAGTCATACAGGTAGCCGGTAGGTTATGTCAATCAATTGTATGGGAGCTGAATAAGAAATTGTTAGTCACCACAAATTTTCATGGGTGCCATAGATGTTGGTGTAGGCCATTGTAGAAAATTGCTGAGAAAGAAATCTAACTTTGATATCATATGATAGGATCTAACCTTCTGTTATGGGTAAAATGACATGGACATCACCTTAGTGTCACGTGACTGCCACATCAGCATCACATGGCTGCCATCTCAGCATCGTATGACTAACACATCAACGCTATGTGGATGCTACCTCAGCGTCATGTGGACAACAACACATCAACGCCAGATGAATGACATATCGATGTCATGTGGACAATACCTCGACAGCACAGGTGGTCAGCACATGCCTGAGTGGTTGACACATGACCGACACCTTAGCAACTGCCCCTCGTAATTGACGTCGATCAGGTGAGTAATGGTCCATAGAGCCCACTATAAAAGGGCTCTTGAGGTATGTTCCCAGGCACTTTACCCAATGCTATTCAAGTCATTGGCCGACTCCTTCAAACCCAAGACTAATTTAAGCATCGAAGGGGCATTTGTCAAGAACGCTCTCGACACAGTTCTATAGGGTTCGACCTCTTCAGAGTCGGCAAGGTTCAATCTTTTCGGATCGGTAGGGTTCAGAACCCTCAGGGTTAGACAAGTGTGGTGTCAATCGAGATTGAACTGTGACAGATGTGGAAGGCACCTCGGTTGGCTCAGAATATGCATCTAGATCAAAGAACCAAATTCTGTGCTAACACCTTCCTATCATGATTCTCTCTAATTAGAGAAATGGTCTCTCGAGATAATACAAGAGGAAAGAAAGAGACTGATCACTTCAAATTAATCTATTTTTATTTCATAACAACACCAATCAAGTTCTCAAACATGGCTAAATGGATTACAAACACTCACACATTTAGAACTAATTAGCCTTGGTAATCTCCCCACCCCTATGATCCTATATAATGATATCTCTCTCATATTCTCCAAAATAATTCCTAATATCTAAACAACTTATATAACATACTATATCCATATTATGATTCTTAGGCACCAAAAAAACTTATAATTGATCTTTAGAGGCATTTTCTCACAACAACAATATAACAAAGAAAATAATCCACAAATAGATAAAATTAAAAATATTAAGGTGGGAACCTCATGAAGGTGGTTCAATGTCCCATCATTCCACAAGAACTCCCTGTCCATGTGTAAGGCAAATTCATCTTCGCAATGAAGATAGATAAGAGACATTGATACATTGTAGATGTTGTAGATCAATGCAAAAGTTATCACGGAAGATTATCTCACTCTAATACCAAATTACTGAATATTACTCTCCCAAGTTTGAAGAAAAGAGGGAAAAAAAACTAATTACTCTAAGGTAATCTAAATTTATTGAATAAAAAAATAAGTAAACTTCTCAAGCATGCCTGAAGGGCTTACAATTGGTCACCTCTCAAAATCCCATCACAAGAAACCTTTAGAACACTTCATGTACGGTATAAATCCAATAGCCAATCAATTTTCCAAACATATACTATAAGAAAACTAGGTCACTTCCACCAAATAGATTCTGAATTACATCCAGGAATTCTCTAATACATCAAATAAAAGTAGGGTTTTGTCAATGGCATACCTTAGTGTTGTCCTCTGATATCCCACTACTCTGCCTCTCTAATAAAATTTTTATAGAGCAAAAGAACTTACAAATAAAATTAGTGAAGAAAGAACTAACATAGAGAATGGAGACCAGTGTAGTCTTGTCACTCTGTATCTTCAGAAAATATTAATAATATTTAGAATAAATTCTATTTAGAGAATTTGTTCATTGGATACAAAGAATTAGTCAAACTAAGGTCATCTAAAGAATAGAGATCACAGTATTATTGTTATTATGAATTTTCAAAAGAGACTAAAAATATATATAGAAATAATGAAACCAAAGGAAGATTCAGATCACTTAATTGAAAGATATAAATTCATATGTGCAATATGGTTGCATATGCAAAAGCAGCTACATTGATATCCAGCAGAATGTCTATAATGCCTGCCATATTTACATGATGAACAGGCCAAGTACTATGAAATTTGTTTTATATATACTCTACTTAACATTCGGAAGCTTACTAGGTTTGACTAGTTCAATTGATTCTTCCAGTATGATCACCTTAGAAAGAACAATAAATCAAAGGCAAAAGACATATAGTAATCAAATAAAACCAAAGTCCAACTCTTACCTTTCAAATGTCGAATCAGAACATTTCCAATTTGGATTTCTCACAGCATCATGATACTTGCGGCATTCCTCTTTAGTGCGCAAGCGAAACCTACGCTCTTTGTTGCATCTTTTACAGTGGACAAATTCATCACGGTGACATGGTCTTCCATTAGGGCCCTTATGAGAGCCATTAGCAGCTTTTGAGACCTGGTTGTAATATTTAAGTAGAACAGTCTTTGAGAGTGGAACCTTGTCTCCTTTGACTATGACCCATACATTGCTTTTCCATTTCCTCGCAGTCTCCCTCCCAGAGTGCTTCTCAAAAGCAGCTGGTGTCAACTTATCTGACAAATTATAAAAATTCAGCCAACAGGCAAGTGACCAGTAACATCATTTTGTCACAGTGAGGACAGAAAAATCATAAAAAGTGCAATTCAGCATTAGCAAATTGAGATTCTAAAGTTGAGTTCTGCACATTTGATTTTTTTTTCTTTTTTATGCAAAGGATAAATTTTACGGATAAAAAAGGGCTATATTCACTGAAAGAAAGATAGTTTCTAATATATACATCATCCAATCAGGGATTCCTTACTCGATCATATGTATGTATTCTCCATGTTAAAAAATGGATATATCAATTGATAAATTGACAGAGTACATGCAAAGAGCTGTGACATATTCTTATGTGATACATTCTTCAACAATATTATTTTATTGGAAGAATCACATCCTCTTTTATAGGAGTGGCACTTTTTCTTGTAGTTCTCCAAGAGCCTTATCACATTGATAGTCCTCCATCTAGCACGGTTATTGTGCAGAACTCGATTTCTCATCTAAATGGGGCAATATTTGGAAAAAAAAAAAAGTAAAGGGTGATGAGATAATATTTCCTGTTCACTACAATATTTTATAACTGCAACCCTTCTGTGCATGAAACAAGCAGAAATGGAGATCTCTAGGCGAGGCTTTCGTGATGTTCCAAACATAGTGGGGCTATTTTTGTTCCAATTATAATATATACACCTTTCTTTGTGAAGAAAATAAAGGCATTTGAGTTACACACAGATTTAATGTCCTTCATTTCTTCATAACACGAAAAGATGTAGTACGAAAAAATAACTTTCAACAAAACAAAGACAAGTGAAAAATCATGAACGGCCGGCAAAACATAAATTTGATAAATTCAAACCCAATTTCACTTATGATTTCAGATCGAAAAACTATATTTGTTACCATGCTAGTACAAGAATGGACTCCAACTATAGATAATTCCTGTAGAATATATTCTGTTCACATCATATGGCATGTCTGAATTAGAGATAATACCAATGGCACAAACAAACTGCTGGCATCATCAATATAAGAAAAGGAAGCCGGCCCATAAATTTTACTGTTCCCACTAAAATATCTGATATTATAGTCACCAACAGATTTTAAAAAGAGCAGAGCTAAGCACCCATCATTCATTCAATCTTCTTGTCAAACCAAGGCCAAAATTATAGCAGTAAGACCGGAACAATTCAGTCACTATTCCAAGAAGAACAGCAGTGAAGAACATTAGCTCAATGCTACAAAGGGACTTCCACTTAAGCTTCAGCAGAAGATAATGCAACCGAAGAATAAAGACCACGCAGCATATGTTAACAGTGATCTGATCACTTATGTTCCAGCTAACTAAACAAACGAAAGTTTGAACCGACAAGCACAGGGCAAAGTGATCACATTGTGAAGGTTATGAATCCGGAAATGGTCATACACTGAATCAGAACACCCGAAATAGGCGGAAAAGAAATGTGCCAAGTCTTAAAGAAACCGCACTTGCATGCAAATGTGGACAAGCGTACACGAACAAGACAATAAACAAGTTGCATGGAGCAAAGAAAAAGACCATGTCAATGATGCGCACATGGATGATCCTTTTGCGAGATATTAAGCACAGTCCAGAATCAAACAACATGTGTGCATGAAGACGAGATGCTATTCCTAAAGAACCCATCATGACCAGAGACAATATCATGAGATCTAGCTCATTATCTTAGTCCGAGAGATATCATTCACGAAGCTTCGGAATCGTTCGAGAGCCGTCGAATCGAATGACCCGACTCACCTTCATGACAACCCGGCGTGCAATCGCAGCTGATCTCCAGATCACCGGAGGCGAAAACCCTAAGCCGCCCGACGGCGTCCCCGTACCGGTGGCTCGTGCACCCGCACATCACCTCGACGAAGTCGGTGCCCCTCTTCAACCCACTCATCTCGCACAATTCCTCGTCCGCGAACAAAGAGGTGGCATCTTGTCCCTCACCATCGGCCATCTGTCACTCCTTCGGTCGAGAAGACGCACCGAAACCTCACCAAAAGATCCCTCTTTTGACGCTAAAACCCCGTAAGAAATCCGAAGCGGCCTTTGGGCGCTTTGAGACGAAGAAGGTAACGAAAAGAATTACCGAGACGCAACCGGAGACCAAGAAAACTAGCCAAAGAACAAAAAGAAGACTTCTTTGAGGGTTCTGAGGCAAAGATCTAAGATCCAAGAGGGGAGGCAACGTCGAGAAGTCAAAGGAGGCGCTCGAGGGACCTGGAAATCTCGTCGAGAGTTGCTCACAGAAAAAGAGGCGGCGAGGAGAGGCAAGGGCGCCACCTTTCTGCGCCGGACAGCTACTGCCGCACGGCAAGAAGCGAGAACCTACAAGGATCCATCGAAAGGAGCCGCACAGCGCACGCCCCTCACCAGATAACCCGATGGGAAAAGGGATACGGCTCACCGCGGTCTCCTTTCCGCATAATATAGGCTCTTAGCATTCCCACTCGGGGCCCGAACTCCTCCCTCTCCTCTCTGCGACATGCTCCTCAGTCCGTAGAACCAAGTCCCCCCATCACCTCCCTCAAGGCCTCCCCGGAGAGCAAGAACTCTGGACGAGACAGGGAGAGAGAGGGAGAGAGTCGTGTTTAATAACAAGGAGGCCAGAGAGGAGGGAGGGACACTTCGGGAATCCCAAACAACTCTCATCTTGAGCTGGCATCGGCATCAGCATTCACCAGCGCTCTGCGGCTCGTGCATGACACGACATGAGAAAGAATATGTATATATACAAGATTTCATTCACTCACTCACAAGCGTACGTTTGGTTTGCAGAAAAGAGAGAGAGAGAGAGAGAGAGAGAGAGAGATGAAGAAGTCGCAAGAAAACAAAAGGGAAGAGCTCAATGAAAGGGTGTTCATCTTTTTCCCTACCATTTCCATGAATGGACCCCTGCTGTTGCTGGTGCCTTTCTCCAAATACCAAGCTTGGATTTTGGGCCACAGTAAAAGTAGTTGGCTTTATTCCTCTCAGGCACCACCCTATGGCCTATTGGAGCAGCAGCATCTCATGCGACGGCTACTCCTCTCCTCTCCCCTCCACTGGTCCAAGCCATTCATCCTGTTCACCCTTCCTCTGGTGGTGGCCACTTCTCATCGAGGGCATGTTGATCTCTCTCAGCCTATCTACTATCTGGAGATGGATTGTGTCTGGAACAAGATAGAGAAAATGCAGCACTTTGCAATGGAGCTTTCTATATGATTTGAAGGGAAAGGTATCATTGCTTAATTTCAGTACAATAATCATCATGAGAATATTCCCAAATCATTAGCATGCAAGCAGTAAAGTTGATTTGTGGGTGCGGTGCGAACCAAATGCTCATCATGCCCACATAGCATGGGTTGACCAGGCATGCTAATATAGCTATTATTTGACTTTTCAATGCCCTAATAGTGAAAGGTACTGTTTACTGCATGTTGACAATTGGTCAGAACTTCCCAGGCCACAGTGCACCACTTGCCAATCACTTACAGATATCATTAAGCATAGCAACAGGTCTCCTTAGGACACTGTTCAAGTCAGTAAATCTGCAGTGCCTGACAAAGAGTTCATTTTACTAACAAATGTGTGGTAAAATATGTCACATGCATGCAGTCAGTGCAATGGGTCTTCTCCATACTCCAGTTTGGCTTCCATACTATGTACCATTGATGCAATGCGATTGCCTCAAAAAAAGTAGTTCACATGACCATCCAAGAAAGATTCTCCAGTTTGGCTTCCATACTATGTACCATTGATGCAATGTGATTGTCTCAAAAAAGTAGTTCACATGACCATCCAAGAATGGACAATCATGCTTCTTTTAAGTGCATCAATTGGTAGAATAATTGCATATATTAAGTATGGTTTTGATCTGAATAATTGAACCTTGTAGGTAGGTCAACCTAACCTAACTCACCCATGTGGAGGAAGCAATAAATTTCTCCTTCTTTTTCCAAAATCCAATGTTCTAATGTGATTGTGAGTCACCAGTGTTGAAATAGAAAATGAGGACAATATAATGAAACAAAGCATAATCCAATTGAATAGCAGTTCTTAAAACTGTAAATAACATATTTTTGACTGACAGACAATTCTACTTCACATCAGTGACCATAAAGTATTGTCTTGGCTCGTTGATTGACAATTGACCTAAGAATTATAAATCTTGAATGTTAGGTGCATGCTAGCTTCGGGTACATCCTCCTTACATCATGGCATTCATTATATCTTCTGCTACATTCCAACTTAAATAATTGTTCATGTGGCTTCAGATGTCCCATTCACTTTGGATTGCAAGTTGTTCTCATGGGATAGCCATTGAGGACATATCAATTAACATATGCTCAAGGCAATTTCCCAGCTGTCCTAATAATTAAAAGTTAACCATCGAGTGTGAATGTTAGTGACAACCATAGGATTGCTTTACATGACTTGAAAACAACTTATTTATCTATATGAGTAGGACTGTATAACATTGATCCTCCCTATACCATTTCTAATAAGCAAAGGGGGATGCACATTCTTGATGTTGATTGCAAAAAACATTTTCGAGAAATAGAAAATAAATTAAATGTGACTTATGACAAGCTTGAACATGAGAGATGAAAACATACCCACTGATTTAGCTGGCTCTGGCTCTCCCGATCTTCAAGATAAAAAATAAGGAGCAAGACTTAGTCTTTTGAGTCTTTGGCACTTTCCAAACAAAGGCTGCATGAGATCAATTACAGCATGGGAATGCATTCTTTCCCTAACACGTGATTGAGTCGATGAGAAAGGCAGGAGTGTTGTCTGCTAGGAGACTTGAAAGTAGAAAGAGCCATCTGATTCTGACTTCATAGCAGTCTAACAATGGCAGCCAGCCCTCATGCGCAGCTGTGCCACACCATCCATAGTCAAGACAAGAAGAGCTCCTCATGCCGCTGATGTAGTTCAATGCACCAAGTGGCATGAATAAAATAATGACCAAAGTACATGGAGCCATTCATCAACAAAGGCTTTGGACATAGCATTGCCATAGGCTGAGGACCCCCAAATATGCTCTTCTTGGGGAGTGATGACTAGTTATTTAGAGACTGGACCCATGAGTCGACGACTGGTGACCAAAAATGTTTCATGGGCAAAAATAATTAACCAAGATAAACGGAAATCCAATTCTTTTTTCCTCCATTAGAAGCCATGAAAACATCACGAATAGTCAATCATGTAACTTCGCTAAAACAATGATGTAAAAATTACTTCACAACAAATTCCAAAGTAATGATCGGTCCGTTTTTATAGACATTTCTCTTTATGAGATGATGCTGGAATATATCTGGCTCATAATGTATCGGATAAAAAATAGCACTTCGAGATCTTAAAAAGCTACTGGTCAAGGTCACCTTAGAGATTTTACTGGAACAGTGTTTTAACACTAGGAGTTGGGCATAGCACAAGAAGAGTAATGCTTACATCATTACAATTCCACTAGAAAGAGATGACAGAAATAGTGTGCTAGTTAATCATTATAGGCAGCCTAAAAGGTACGCAGCAAAACTGTCAATATATGAGAGAGAGAGAAGTCTTGGAGCATATCCCAATGGCGAGCATCACATGTGACCTAAACCAGTGATGACTTCCACTACCACAACGAACCTCTTATTGCACGATAATAGAGGATGTATCATCTCTCCGGCTGCAACAAATAATTAATAATTATGCATAAGATGATGAAATTTTTTGCATGAAGCAGTCTGACTTCATAAGATTGAGATTGAGGATCGCAAAGCACAAGATGATAGTTGACAATGGCTGTGAATTTGTTGGAGCAGATTCACTGATATATATGTTTCTTACACTTCTAGAATGAAAATTATAAAAGAAAATCATTTTTGAAGATAACAAATAACAAAAAATGTTTGATAAACATAAGCCAAAAAAGAAAAAGAACAAGTGATCTTCAATCATTTTTCAACTTGTAGGTATCCAATATTTAGCAATTTTTAAGATCTTGGTCAATGACCTAAGTAAAATTGTCGTAGAAGATAATAATGTAATACATAATGGCTTCAGCAAAAATGAATAACTTACTACAAAGAAGAAAAGGAAAAATATTATGACCTAATTACTAATTTATTTCATCCAGTACATCTCATGAAATGTGATCCTAGATACAAGGAATATAGGTGGCAGGCTTTTACTGCTTTGTTTAGACCATCCACAAGCTAATTATAGATTATCACATGTAGTTAGCTATATTTAGAATTCAGATCTTTACATTTTAAAAAGTTACACTGACATTCCTATAATTATAAAAGTAAAATATTTAGGTTCATTTACTCTAACGTCGTTGATTTTACTAACAAAAACATAAAAACAAAAGATAAAAAGATAATTTTAACGTTCCAGTTGATGGTGGTGAACGGTGTCGGTGGCGGCAGACAACTATGCCATTTGGGGCGCGAGTGACTGTTGTGAATGAGAATCTCGCCACCACTCTCCTCATCCACAACAGCCACCCATAGCCTCTAGCAGCACCGTCGTCCGTAACCATCAATACCATCTATCACCACCAACTAGAATGTTAAAATTACCTTTTTGCCTTTTGTTTTTATATTTTCATTAGTAAAACCAATGTCGTTATTATACATAGACCTAGATGTTTCACTTTCATAATTATAGGAATGTCAATGTAACTTTTTAAAGTATAGAGATCGAGATGTTAAATGTATCTAACTACATGAGGTAATGTGTAATTAGCCCACCATCCACTACTATATGATAAGTTATAATTCAAATAATCAGTTACTATGTCCATTCTAACAAATGCTACAATGAAATGCTGCATGGATAAATTATAAAACACATTTTCATGGGAACTAGAAACCTAGCCTTCAAGAATCCAAACTTTTCGGGGTACATGATGGTGGGGTAGATAATTATATTCTGTTACTTGATGACCTTGACATCCATAGTTATGGAGACAATACATTTTCTCATAATATAGTGAGAGAATGTCCAACTTAGGAGGGAAAAATTGGTGAAAGGAATTTCTACAAACTATCTTTTGCCAAGCTTTGTTGAGAAAAGAAATGAAAAATAGGAAGGATGAAATGAAACAAACATGGTAAGCTTACGTAACTTAAGAGACAAAAAGGTGCAGTGAGCAGAATCATATTGCATAGACATATGTTGTTCCTGGCAACAGATGAAAGAGTAGGATGAAGACAGAGGAATAAGAAGCCTTATCTCTAAAGATATGAGATGACATATCACATATGGAAAGTTGAAAACATTAGAAAGTTTAGTTATCAAACAAATTATTTGATTGATATAGGAAGGACTATTGTAGATATTTTTATAAATTGAGCGATCAGGTGTGAAGGCCATAGTTTTTATCTCTTGTTGGAGAAGTTGTTCAGCCAATGTATTAATCAGGTGAGAAGTAATCTCATCCCCGAATATGAAGTAAATAGTTTGTTCCATTCCAGCCATTAGAGAATGGTGCTAGCAATACTTAGCAATTGGAAAAGCATCCTAAGAATCAGGCAGTGGTACTTCTCATGATTAAATGAGTCACTTATTTTCAGAAATTTTATTAGTAGGATATTCTACTATGATTCTTGGATTCAGGAGCACCCCAACCTACATTGATTGGACAATTTGCCCAACAAAAATCCTTCCCATGTG